TGTTGTTGTTGTTGTTGTTGTTGTTGTTGTTGTTGTTGTTGTTGTTGCTTACTGTGTTGTGTGTCTATTTTTGTGTGGCTTCTGTGGCTTTGGGCATTTGTTGCTTCTCTTTTGACTTCACAGGTCTTTGTGGCTGGCATTTTTGTCACATTACTGCGGAGTATATCATCTTTGTGCTGTTGTCCGTTTTCGCTTCTGCGGCTTTTCTTTTTTGCTTCGGTTGGCTTAGCTTCTATTCATTGCAGGTTGTCCTCTTTGTGGTTATTGTTTGTCTTCAGCGTTTGACTGGAAAAGCTCGGCTGAGCCGATATGTATTTGTATCAAATGCATCCTAGCGCTCACACACCGACGTATCTCAAGACTTCCACAGGAAGAACCACGATGACATAATGTGTGTTCACATGCACATAAATGTCAACCCCCCGCAATCAGCAACCTAGCCAAAACAAACACAAAAATCAAAAGGCCTAACATTTAATCTAACATTACTATTCCGGCCCATATGAACATTGCAGCCCATATGAATGTGGAAGGGAACCAGTCGACCAGTCGACTCTCCTCGCAGGACCCGCTCTGCTGGGATGGTTCCTTCACGGCCGACGTGTGTTGCGACACAAAATTCGGCCCCCGAGGCGGGCGAAGACGGCGCAGACTTGACCCTCGTGGCACTGGTGGTGAGCAAAAAAGAAGATCGACGTACCCTGAGAGACTGGAGGATGATCCGTTCCGAAACTCCCTTTTAAATGTATATCCCAAATGCCAGTACTACTACTGACTGTATAACAGGGAAAAATGGTATGCTCTGCTCGCCATCAGAAACCGGATGCTGGACTTGGGAAATGGCAGGACACATCTCGGGGACGAGGGGGGTTCTTCTCAGCATCCTTTCTGCGAGGCCACGAAGCTTGCTGGGACAACGTCCACACCTTTGAGCGGTGCTGTGGGGAGGCTGGAACTTCTTGGGAAACTGGCTGACTGAAACGTCGCCCACGTATCGGAGCTTTTCCCATCTTCACAAAAAAAAGTTGCATCCTGGGTTGGAAATCCATGGAAATCCATGTTTTCCGATGTGTTTGGCCGTGTTGTCGTTGCAAGACAGATGCAATGATGCAACCAAATCCGTTTGATATTCTTATTCTTTGATGTTTTTTTCCATAGCATGTGCCCAATTCGCTGTACGCCGGCATGATAGTTCTGGGTATAGGCTCGTGGGTGGATTTTGCACTCCTCCCAAATCTCGTTGAAGACCTCATTTTTCCGGTTCCTTCATCGATCTTCCAATCTCGTTCTCCAGACTGCACAGATCGACTTCCTGAAACAGGCGCCCAACTGTCCGGAATGTCCCATGGTCCCGGCCGCGTCGAAATGCCACAGGACTGTTTGGATTCGCTGTCCTTCAACGTGGAGCGCTGCTGCGATTTGGTGCAGAGCGAGACGGGCGACCAGGTCCGGGCGGCGATTGGTGATGGCGGTGAAGACCGCCAGTGCAAATTGATGGGTTTCATGGGGAGTTGTTGAAGTGTCACGACTGTGATGTAGAGTGTTGATTAGACAAATGACAATAATACCATAATATTATATACCTAATTGTAAGTCTACCGGCGTAATTTACGTGTTTTGACAAATCTAAACATTAAACTTCAGCTAATTCCAAAGCCAGTGCGTTGCAAGAGTTGAGGGTCTTCAGTGGAGGATGGTCGATGGTTGTAATTTTCTCCACACACCGGGTCCAGGGTTTGAAAACCGCCCAAGGGGGCAAGCAGCAACGGAACTTTTATTTTTGTCGGCAAAGTTGAACAAGTGTCCAATGCAAGTTGCCTTGAAGAAGAGGGGTGGAACTGAGACAACCACGGAGTGGCTCCGATTTGGAGTCCAATCTCTTCTCACTGTGGTCGATGTCCCTAACACATCCTAACACTACATTGACCCCTGTTCAACCACCCCAAGGTTGTAGATATGCCAGTCCCGTAAAAGCATGTGGGTTTTATATTGGTTGCGGTCGAGTTCTTCGGGAGGCGAATTCTTCCTGGATCGAAGAGTCCTTCAAAGAACGACCTGTAGTTGATAACTTTGAGAAAGAGTCAAGCAACATAGTAATTTTAAATGTCCTTGGTTCTTCAAAGTGACTCTTGAGCAGCCATAATGGCCTGGTTTCCAAGATTTAGTGACCCTAAACAGAAGAATCCACATGAACGACTCAAACCTTGTTCTATGTGAGTGTCTTTGCAACATCCTTCTATCAACCCACGCAACTAACCAACGAACCAAGCAGTTGACATAATCACCCACAGAGGTGAAGGTCCCCTCAGCTCTGAAGGTCCCCTTTGCTCCCAAGGTTTCTTCCTGCAAATCATCCACAGTTGTCACAGTTGTCATGTTTTGCGTCTTGGGCGCCCATGAAACGGGCTCATCAGGCATGCTGGCAAGGAGTCTCTCGACGCAGAGAATTGCGCCGAGAACTACGGGCCAGTGCTCGGTTTAGCCGTTGGAGCAAGAGCACAAAGAGTGAAACTAATATCAAATGGGTGTGCAATGATGTGCATGTTCTATTGTTGGGAGACTCTCTTTCACGCCTTTTCATGCTTGTTTCTGTTTCTGTTTCAGTCCTTGTTTCCTCCGAAGTTGCAGATTTCACATGCACCAAGTTGAGGGGAATAAGGGATTTCAGTCAAAACCTGGCAACGATCTTTGATCGGTTGTCGGTCCTTGGCTTGCCTATGCTTGCCTTTACCGCCCCAAAAATGAGTGACGTGCTTGCCACTCCAGGTGGGGAAATTCGTTCATGTCCGTTCGCCCCATTTTTGGGTGAAACCATCATTTTCGCCCCACTAGGCTTCTAGCAAGCTAGTCTGCAAGCTGTATTTTGTGTATTTGATTATTTGATCAATTGATCCTTATCCTAAGATGCTTCATGCGGAGAAAGCCCAGCAACCTATTCCCTCCTTTGTCAGAAGGCCCCTGAGCTTGGCTCATTCAAGCCCATGCCTGGAAACGCGTGGCCGTGCGGGGCATGTCGAAAAACTCATCCTACACCTCATGTAACTTGGAAGGTGCAGCGTTGATCTAATCGAAGGGCTGTTTTGGACCCGTCCATTGCTTCAGCGAGCTTGGTACAGCGTCGCTGGAAGAAGATCTTCCTGGTCCACCGATCGTTGCACATGTGTTTTGGAGGTGAGGTGGACCTCTTTTCAACCACGGAGTGGCAGGGATGACCTACTTGATTCACAGAGGCATAGAGGGACTATTTGAAGTGTTCAACCCGATTGGTCTACGGCTCGGGTATGTTGTTGCCTCTCCCCTCATCGACACCTCGCCACCTCGCCTTGCCGCGACCCAGACACATCACAGCTTTGAGCACTGCTGCCAGCCACGTGCGGGCGAAGCGGGTGCCAGTGCTTATGAGGGGCTACCCAGCTTGCCAGAGTTCGGCTGCTTGGGCAGGATGGCGAACCACGGCGGATGGGACCGGCCACCGGCCTTGGCTGGCGGATGAGGTGAAAACCCCGGTGAGGTGGGTCCATGGGACTCAAAAACATAAGACTTCGATCGTCAGAGGGTGGGTTGTTGTGGCAGACGAGGCCTCAAACTCAAACCTTTGGAAACAGATGAGAATGACATGGGAAGCTTTTTGGGGTGTGGGTTCAAACAGTTCAAACCAAAAGAAGCATTGGTGAGTGAACGTGGGGAATTATGATTGCAGCAAACAGCAGCTTTGCAGTCAGAAGCGCCTCACTCAGTTGGGTGACCAGTCAGATTCTTGGTCTTGGGAAAGCAGTAGAAGACTACACTCCCAAAAAATAACATATACCCTGACGTCCTGGTCCCATGGAAGACGATTTTCCTCTACCAATCAGGGGTTTTCCATGTTAGTCTTCCAGACTAGATCGACCGCACGGTTTTCGACCGGTAACGGTCTGAGAAGGGTGGCCAAACATGATCAAACATGTTCTTCGGAATCTGTGCATTTTAGTCATTTTAGTCTATAGACAGTCTATAGTTTTTGGCAAATCTCTTTTTCATCCACACCGCCAATGAGTCTGGATGGCGTTCAACACTTTTCCATCCGTTGAACGCGTGCCAGATTCACGCCGTGATGTTCCTCACGTAGGACAAGTCATCCAAGTCGCCATGATTTGCCGTCCCTCCATGCGCCTCCCTAGCATCAAAACATATCAAAAACCATGAACAAACTCATCCCAGTGCGTCCCTGATGGGCTGGTTCCTCACGTTCCTCCCTGAATCTTCTGGGGATCCTTTTCAAACTGCTCTTCAGACTGCTCCATGATGCTCAGACTGGCCTCCAAAGGCCTGGGGAACCCAACCGCATCCCAGACAGCGGTTCCTCCATCGGCTGAGGGGAAGGCTGCTGGGATGCGGAGCAGCTCATCACCTTTGCGCGCTGCTGTGGGACACCAGGGGTGAAGGAGAGTAGAAACACTGAGTTTTTGGTTTGTTGGTGCCGCGATGGAGTCGCTTTTGGTGCCGCGTTGGGAGGGATAGAAAGGGAGGACACGAACGAAAGGGAGAGTGAGATTGTTCAGGTGATCCTTTTGGGATCCAATTTGAGGAACGAACGCAGCACCCCAAGGGTATATCAGTCATACGGTGTGTCCCATTGCTTGGACGGCTGTATGAGCCCATCGATGCATGGCAGGTTGGTTGAAGTCGCAGTTTGATGCAGTTGGCCCGTGGGTCCGATCCTCACAATCTGCTTGGGGGAAGCATCTGGGTTTTCGCTTTCTGAGTTGTTGTCCATGAGTGGCTTGTCATTGCTTCGTTTGTTCGGTCTTTGGGTCTTGGCACATGTATTTTTGCCCCAGGTGACCGCCGGCCGCACCGTCCAAGGGGGTCTCCCGGTACCCTACACCACTTAGGGATCTGGGGATCTCCATTGGACACCCGAGAGGATGGTCCCTTGTAGAGGATGCTTTGTTAGGCTTTGTTAGTTAAGGAGACCCCGCAGGGTCAGGGTCAGAGGCACAAATCCGTTAAACCTGCCTCTACACTCTTTGGATCATCGAAGACCTGGAACGCCGACGTCCTGGACGAGCGCCGCTCCCTTCACGTCGCTGGATGTTTTTTTCTCCAGGACTACTGCTTTGTGGGTGAATATACCTATGGCAGATGCTGCACTGGCCTGCACCCCATTCCCAGGACGTCTTCGATGCGTCTCCGCCGTCGCCGTCCCGGGAGAAGGCCCAGGCGACATGACGGTCCAGAGAAGGCGAAGGCCATATATACCGTGGTGCCAAAATGGTCGGACTATTCTAGGTGTAGTGTGAAGGGATGTGTGAATCTTAAAAACACATCTAAATTAAAAGCATCTTGGGTGATCTAAGCAAGCTTTCTAGATAGTGATTCATAGTGCTTCACTATGAAAAAGGTTCATGAATTAGCCTGAATCTTCTATTCAGGGATCTTCATGTGTGACTGTCAGCAGACTCTGATGTCCCTACCAACAGCCACAAGTCCATGCGTATCGACACTCAGGGTTCGTCGGCAGGACATCCATTCCTGGTTGAAATGGCCAAGGGGGTTTGTCATTGTCGGCCATCGCTATGAGGTTGGAGCATTCAGCTTCCCTGGAAGAACACATGCCAGTTCCAAAGGAATGAGTTTTAGGCCCCAAAGTGACGTGGATGTGTGTCAGCACTCCCTCTCGGACTGGTGCCACCGATGGCGAAGTCGGTCATGACAGTTTTGGTGGTGACCCGTGGTCCATGTTCGTGCTTGAACAGAATCTGTTCAGAACAATCGATCGGGGTACACCCTAGATCGCTGCACCTGTTATTGAGTGCGGCTCCCACCCGCCCCTTGAACATTCTTGAACCCCCTGCATCCCCCCGCCGGATTCGCGACACGGCCAGGAGCTTTTTGGACGTGCCATTGGAACACGAACTTGTGAGATGCTTGCGGGAAGCGAGAGATGGCGGCATCAGCAGCAATGGAAGCTACGAGGAATGCAACGGACGGTTGCTGGGCAAGGATGGAGAATTGGCGGGCTATCGGCGTTCAAACGATTGGATGGAACATGATGGAACATCTTCAATGAAGCCTTCCCTACTTGGGGCTTAGGGCCTATTAGGGCATAAGGTGGCAAACTGACGAGTAAATCGCGACAGTTCAAGTACCGCACTGAAAGAATCAAGTTCCATGAGTGATCTCCAAGCTCCAAAGTCAGCAACACTTGACTCGATGAATTCATGTAGAATCTGAGTGAATCACTTGACTTCAGGGAGGTTTTCTATTGAATCTTCTCTTAGCAACCGACCGGGTGGACCCTCGTCCGTCACCGGTCGCCATGTCACTGGACCTGCGTCCGATTCATCGGCGGTCACCAGGTACTTCCACGTCTCGGCGGTGCTGTACCGCTATGCCGAGTTCGAAGTGATGCATGACTTCTGGTGGCAACGTCCGCAGGACGGGTGTCAAGACGTCGGGAACGGTGGGCGTTCTATATATACTTTTGCGCAAGCACGAAAAGGATACCATGATGAAACCTGGGTTGATTTGCAGGTGCTGCGAAGAACCGGTGACTTGTAACAGTATGCTGGGATCTCAACCCATCAGCCATCATGAGTTTGGGGGAAGATTGGTGATCCATCTAAACCATTCTAAACCGGAATCGGACTCACCAGGACCCCCAGGAACTCAAGAAGGAAGAAATCTTCAGCGCGAAAGGCCGGGATGGGCGCAGCGCGTGGCGGTCCGCGATGGGCGCCCAGAAGCAGGAGTCGATAAATTTCACGGTGGATGGAAATGCATCAAGTGAGAGTTGTTTCATGTATTATGATGTATTATGTATGGTATATAGTTTATTATAGTATTTTTGGGAGCCACTGCATCGTATGGTGGTAGTTGTATGAATTTGTTGAGGTCATTAGAGGTCATTCGCATCTGACACCACTTTGAGGACCATCCATGCAGTTCATGGGGATTTGGTTGTTCTTTGTAGTTCCCAATGTAGATGGTAGTTCCCAAATTCTCTGGATGGGGCGAATTCACTCGAAAGTTGTCTCAAAGAATTACATCAATAGAAAAATCCGGGTGCAGTGGGTTCTTTAAAGTGGCGAGTTCCTTCTTAGTGTTTTGCAGTCTTTAAAGGCGGTTTCCTGTTCTTTAGCAGGGCATGCCGTACATGGATTCATTAGGGACTCTTCTTTGAGCGGTTTTGATTTTTTAGTTACCTTTGTGCACCCTGAACCCGTCCCAGTGTGAGGCCGGATTTGAAGGAGCATCCAAGAAGTTGTGTTATTCTTTTTGCACGGGTTTAGTCGATTCATATAATATCATCAAGGTTCAGGATCATCTCAAAAGACATTTCTTGGGAATCTTTAACACATCTTGCATCAGTGCCCAGTTTGATGTCCTGCTGAAGTGGTAGTCAATTTAATAGGGGCCAACTTTCATTGGGACCTCTGGTGGCACCCACTCCAGGAAACGTTCACTACTACAATTTGTTGAACCCACCCCTCCCAGCAGCATTTTTCACGTACCACCTCACCCGGCAGTATACCAACCACTCCACCAGCGCTGAGCACAAAACCAAAGCAATCCCCCCAAAACACATGCCCTTCAAGACTTCAAGATCTAATGATAACTCAAGAAAGCTGGTGACCAACATACATCTTCAGAAGGGCCCACCCAAACTTCACTTACGTGATGCTGCAGACTCCGGCGTCCTCGTTCTTTCGGCGTCCGACTCAGGGCGCCGCGTGACCGCGCCGGAGTGGCTGCACCATTCCGGGTCGATTTGCGCTCCCCAGAGCTGCAGCCACTCGGCGGCTGCGGACGGTCGAGTCCGGTCCGTTTCGTCGAGTCGTCGAGTCGACGGTAGACCCGGGACTTCCTCCCATCTCGCTCAGGTGAGGAGGCGATGGCTGGATGGTTCGCGCCACTGGTGGACGTGGGGCAACATTACATTTGGCCCAAGTACCGCCAGTGTCCTGGCGAGAGGTCGTGTTGGGGGATCGCGAGCTCGTTCCAGGTGTCTACTGGTAAGTCCACAGAACAAGCCAGGCCGTTCCAACACAGAAAACATTTGGTTCCCATCAGAATTGCTTGGAATTTGTATGACAGGTACCTCATATATGTGGCATCTGGAGAAACCAATCCAAACTCCACCCCATTGACATGAAAAACCGTTTTGGAACTAACATGAAATTAACAACATGAGTGGGTCGTCTCTGGAAGTTTGGTCCCTGGTTTTGGAAAATGGTCGTTTGAACAGAATTGACGTCATGGACATGTCCACTCGAAAGAATCCTGGTTTCAGAGTAGACAGTCACAGACCCGACGGACGATGCGAAAAGACGGGGATACTGCAGCTTCCCAGTTGGATAGGGTTCGCGTCACGGTGAAGCTTCCTGGGACTTTCCGACTTGAACTCGTAGGTCCAAGTCGTTGTAGAATGGATCGACCATGTGTTCTTGTCGTTGGCAGGGGCTTGTCCAAGTTGAAGGCGAGATGATGTAGTTTCTAAAGATGTGAAAGAGCACGGAACAGAGGAGCATAGAGGAGCTGTGGGCTTTGCATGTGCTCTGTATTGGTCGTTCCGGAGGTCTTAGGACTCGGTGTAGCAGGATTCTAGCCATGTGTAGCCCGATTCTCGCATCAATGGTGTCCTCATTGTTCCTCGAGATGAGCCAAGTGTTCGTGTTCAATTTATTTTGTAATTTTTGTCAAGATTCATTCATGATAAGATATCCCTGCTCTTCCTGTTAGACATGTAGTCAATGTAGTCAACGTAGTCCAAGGTCCATTGACTCCTAAGGCGTCACCTGAGAGTTCTGTAGAAGAAGGCTAGTTGAGTCGAGAAGATGGTCAGACTAAGTCAGATGTCAGAAATCTCGCCATGTGACTTTGGGCCTTGGCCCCAAAACAAGGCGGCTCAGTCTGCTTCCTGAGGCTCAACGACACTCACATGCGAGTCTCGCCCTTGAATGCAAGGAAGCGGCCCTATCCCAAATTTGAAGGCCTGCAGATTTGTTAGCTGTTTGTTAGCTGCAACAGATTGTGTTCTTTAATGATATGGTTTGGTTTTGAAAGGGATTGTATTTTCATGGTATTTCCCAAGCATTTGATACGGCTCCCCCCCCGGTGAGAAGGTGGGGTTTTGGTCCGGTCTGGCCCAGACCGGAAAGGCAGTTGGAGCCTCGTGGCTTGCACCCCAGGTAGTGATAGATAGACAAGATTTGAAGAGATGTTCGATTCTGTTGAGATTGCGAGTCGCTCGATGGTAGTGAGCATCACACATGAAACATGCAGGCAATAACACATGAGTTCCGGAACTGGGTTATAGAATGAGGAATCCTTTTGCAAAGTGATCACAATCGCAGGCAATGTATATAGTTTTGATTGTCCAGGTGGTTCCAGCATGTTTATGCCGCTGGAAATTGAACAAATTGGTGTATATAGGTGGCCTTGGCTGATGTTTCCCTCGTTTGCTGTTTTTGTTTCGGCGCGCTTGGCAACACCTTGTGCAGAACGGTATTTCTCCGTTTGAAAAGCGGAGTCTCACCGGAGAAACGGCCGCGGGCGGCTTCGCCAGGTTCCTGGCTCTCATATCGACCTGCAGCAGATGCCTTGCTCAGGTGACCTGGAACAGCAGAGTTGGCTTTGAGTCGTCGCTGTTGAGGTGATTGGGGACAAAGCAAACTCTTAGATTTATAACCCCCTAGTTAAGATTGAACAACCTCTTCATATGGGGTGTTTAATCTTTTTTTAGTCAAGAGTCTACAGTACCATGGCACAGGGCTGTGTCTAGGTTTCTCCAATCCGGGCACTTGCTTTGTAAAGCAAGGACCAAGACCAACAGCTGGGTGGTTTTCGCTGGGCGAATACTGTCTGCAAGACCGGGAATCGGCAAATTCTCACGGAATCGGCGATTCTTGGAGTTGGCGTACAAAGTGTTCCCTTCTCTTCCGTACCGGCACCACCATCGAAGATTCAGCTTCTATAGTCCTGCATTGGGCCTGATGCCCGATGGCCGGACAAGGGTTCGGACCAAGGGTAGGGGGTGAATAAGCAGAATTGCACACTGGCTTGAAGCACAATGGTACCACGCTGTGATTTTAAGCAGAGTTCGTGTCCTGATGCGCTGTATATCAAATCGTAGAATCGCTTCTACTTCAAGAATTGTGAGCTGTAAGTTGTCGACATGATGTGAGTGGGTTCGGAACATATGCCCAAAGGAGGTTTGATTCATCCCAGCAATGTCCTTCTTGAGTCGGAATCTTCTTTGATCAGTCAGATGTGAAGAGCTTGCCAAGCTACTTCGAGATGTGCCCGTGTGCCGAGGCAGCAGCAGAAGTTGCAGAACTACTTCGAGTTCGTGCTCACTGAACATAAGACTTTGAGGCTTGATTCCATGAGGTTTGATGAACTGGTTCGTAGCCTCAGATGGAATTGAATGTGCTTGACAGATGTGTTTACATGTGGCTTGCAACTGTCCAGTGTGGAATCGTGCAGATTCAGATGACCAGACCTTTGGAATGCCTCCGAACTGGAGTACGCACGGTCGAAGTGGACCTGTTTCGATTCTGATATATAGTACGATCCACAGGTGGAGGACAAGGAAAACATCTTATTCACGTGCGATGTTATCGTTAATTTTTTGTATTGTAGGGAGCCAGGTTTGCGGCACGGGTAGGCATCAGTGCTGTCCGTTGCAACCGGGGACCAACCACCAACTGGCAAACGTTCGTTCTATAGCCTTGCGGATTTTGCGTTGCCCACGGGGTTCTTCTACACAGCATCAGACCGATGATGCTCTCTTTGTCAGGCAGCATCTCCAAGCCGGCAACGTGAACTCAAATTCAAACTTCAATGACCAACCCAGTCAGTGGATGACCTGGAAATTGTGAGTAGGCGTTTGGGGTCGCTCAAATCCAACATGAAAAAGGTAAGCAAAATTGGCTCCATTCTCCAACCTCTCAACGCAGCCGTGAGGGTCAGCCCGGTTGATGTCCACCGGTGTCCACCGGTCAGACTGAGCGATCGATTGTGCTGCACCACTCGCCTCGGCGCGGGGGGGCAGTTCACCCCGTCACCAGCGGTGATCCATGGGAGTTTGATAGGAAAAGCGCATGAAACTGCCATTGATAGGAACATCAGCTGATGGAAACATGGGAAGATCATCAGCTTGTTTTTGAAACATACGTTCCAACTGACTGAACACAAGCTAATGGAATATATCCTTCAATGCATGGCGGCAACAAAGAAGAGCATTGCGGCGGCACATAGCATCACAGAACAAAGCTGGTCATTCTGAAAAGAATGACAAAGGACGTTCGATGCAATTGACCCCCCAACTGGAAGATCATCACATTGGCGTTCGTAGCAACAGCCACGAAGGCTGTGGTGCACAAAAGATCCTGTCATGGAAACGTATTTGCAGCAGCATAGACACAAAACGCCACAATGTTTGCAAACATGACCACATGGGAGTACAAAGGCAGCACTTTGCAGACATTCCCTACAGGTCAAAGACCTCATTATACTCATATCCAGTCGGTGCATGACCTTTAACCCTTTTGGGGGGAGTGGTTTCTCCACTATAAACAAGAACAGGTAGTCAAAGGGTTAACCTCTATGTTCTAGAGAAACTGAAGGAGTCAGTACTGGAGTGCTGGATCTCCCTTTTGAGCGGAAGTCCAGATAGTCAACCAACGGTCAAAAATCGGACAGGCAGCTGCGCCTGAGCCGTCAAAGCTGTGGCGTACTGCTGGCGCTCACGTTGCCAATTCTCACCGCAAGTGTCCTGTTAGCTTTGGGTGTGCAGGCGCGACACGTCTCGGAGAGTCCTCTTCTGGAGATATGAAGCAAATGGTGCAAGAGAGCCGGCCGTGTGTGGTGTTTGGTGCTGTTTTTCTTATTTTTTTTTTTTCCGGACCAGACTCGACATGATAAAACACTCTAGGTGAAAGTTTCCAGTTTCTTAAGTGCGAAGGGAACACTTGCGGAATTATTGTTTTTTGTTTTTTTTTTCGCGGTCGAAACAGTCTTCGATCCCCAGAAAACTCTCCAGAGTCATCCGGAGTCTTTGAACGCCCTTCAGATCTTGACCTGTCCATAGGCTGCCAAACCCTTGGCGCTTCAAAGCAGCGTAATGCGACTGGGCATGCCACGACCTCTATGCTTTGACGTGCAGCTTGGTCTAGACTGGAGTTCGAAGTGATGTTCCTCTGGTAGGCAGTACCTCCTAGATGTGGTTGGTTGTGGGGTGCCAACCTGACCTGGTCGGGTCCTGTTCCACAGAGCTGCTGAGCAGAAAGTGGGAGGTGGCAGCGTTCGGTGGCGGATGAATGACTAATGAGGATTTAGCCTTGTGACTTCACAGCAGAAGATCCAATAATATGTGGTTCCAATAAATGACAAAGGATAGGTCACAATATATATAATTCATTGATATTCAATGTATGTTATATATAGTGAGATATGTATGTATATCGATTTTTCTTGGATCCGGTGCAAATCTGTTAGCTGGACAGCACTAAAGATGTGCTGTGTTGATTCTGTTTTGCTTGTTTTCTTCAAGGTTGGGTGGCAGATGGTGGTAGGTTTGTGCAGCTTGGAGCAGTTTGACAGGTTGTTTTTGGGAAAAAAAGCTTTGGCGGCGAAAGAGAGCCCGACAACATGGCCAGAGTCCCTCCTAATCAGCAAATAAACCTGGTGGTACGTCCTAGCAATCTCCAGCATCCAAAAAACATCGCCGTTGCGTGGCCGTTGCAACGCGCGGAGGTTCCGGATCATCACGAGCATCTTCATCGTTGCGGTGCACGTGAAGGATCATTATTCGTTTCCAGATCTGAAGGATGACAGTGACAACAGGATCTACAACTACGTCATCTCTGCGGTCGAGGCAGGCGGCGGCATGGACATGGACGGTGTCTCCAGAACGATCGACATGTTCCCAACACTGACCCAAAACGCTAAGGCCCATAACTTGGTTTTGTTTGGGGTGATGTTTATTTCATCAATGGTGTGACCCCTGTCCACACTGTGACCCCTCTCCACGCTGCGTGGTGCGGGATTTCAGAAGTTCATAGATTGTCGGTCTTCAATGTTGAAGAATTGTGGTGGTAGTAGTAGTAGTAGTAGTCGTAGTCGTAGTAGTAACGTAGTAGTAGTAACGTAGTAGTAGTAACGTAGTAGTAGTAGTAACGTAGTAGTAGTAATGTAGTAGTAGTAACGTAGTAGTAGTAAAGTAGTAGTAGTAGTAGTAGTAGTAGTAGTAGTAAAGTAGTAGTAGTAGTAGGAGGAGGAGGAGGAGGAGCAGGAGTAGCAGTAGCAGTAGCAGCAGCAGCAGCAGCAGTAGCAGTAGCAGTAGCAGTAGCAGTAGCAGCAGCAGTAGCAGTAGCAGTAGCAGCAGTAGGAGTAGTAGTCTTTGTCTTTGTCTTTATTGTTGTTGCTCTTTTTGTGTTTGGATCCCTGGCATGTCTATGATGGGCTCTTCCACCGGACTCTTCCACCCCTCCCGTTCTTTATGTCCCAGGTTTCAATCCGCTCAAATGGCCCTGCACCACCACCGTCAGAGGGGCCGAATCGCCCGAGGCCACACCAGTGAACTCTCTCGCTGTGATGCTGCTGGTGTCCTGGCTGGTTGAGGAGCTTTGCCCCAACACTCCATGTATGGATGTATGGAGTGTTTGCCTTCCTTTGGGTGGTTTCAGAGGTCAATGTACACATATACTTGAGACATGAGACATGTTCCAGACACTGAGTGTTTTCAATATATTTACAATATTGCGGAGCTGCCATTCATCTCCCTCAAGCTTTGGATTCACCATTTACGGAAACTGGGCTGTGTCATGTTGCTCCCCAGTCTACGTTTTTGGAAGTCTTCTTCTAGTGGATTTGTGGTTTGGATGGTTTTTGACTCAAACCGCACTGAACTTCGCACAGGTTCTCTTGGAACTCCGGCACTTGGATGCCATCGGTAGCGCCCGTTTGGCTGTTTCGGGGCCGCTCTCTTACCTGCGAGAGCTCACCAAGCACCTGCTGCGACGATGGGTCTTGATCATGTCCATCGTGCCTGGGCGTCCATGTGGAGACGATTGTCCAGTTACTGCCTTCGGACATCCAGCAATATTGGTCACCATTGAGCTTATGCCGGCAGAGAGACCCCGCAAAAGACAGAGCATTGCAGGACCGCATGTAGCGTACCCAACCAGAAGCCTCGTTAGCCACCAACCGCAGCATTGCAACAGGTTTACGGAACCGTGAGGATGCTGGCTGTTGGCAATAACCAGCAGCCAGCGTACTGTGTTGGTCAATTGATTTCAATTGATTTTTCTGGCATGGGTGTCTCAAAATGAACCCCTACTCAACAAGAAGAAGCGCTCGGCCAGCACGTTCAACTCCCTTATTGAGAGCAGAGTGTGGGAGGTTCGCCAAAAGAACTGCAATTGCCTTTTTTCAAAGGGTTGTACACCATCAATCCCAGCTTTCTTCGTCCAAAGGTGAAAGCGAAATCGCTTTCAGACTATGGCAATGGGGATTACTTTTCGGAATGGCCTCCAGGATGAGGGTTGACAGGGCATACCCAGGCTGAAACAATACCCACTGCATCCCAGCGGTTTGAGTTGTTCGTCCTTAAAGCCAAGCAAACTGAAGCAGTCACAGCTTCCACCAAACTGGAGAAGCACATCAGCAGTAGTGCTGGACAGGAGTGACCTGTAGTTTGAGTCTCTCCTGGTGCCCAAAGTTTAGAGAACCCATACTTGATCATATTTGATATTTGTATATATTTGTGGTGTTTGTGCTGCCGCGCCACCAACAGCGAGAAGGACAGCTGCAACACCCGCAAGTGCCATCAAAGTGTTTCTTCGTCAGGTTGGCATTTGGCTCTACTTCTACATCGCAGTCTTCATACAGGAAGTTGAAATCCCAAACATAGGCCCGGCGTTCAGGAAGACAGCTTGTATGTGTTCCTTGACCGCTTCTTCAGCGCACCATCGAATCAGACAGATTTGATATCGGAATCGATTTCTCCAATGGCACTTCAACCGGACGATCTCTCTTCTGAAATCTCCTGAAATCCTCCGGGTTTGCAGAACACAAAAGGGAGACTGCGAGGTCGCAAGTAGCAGGTCCTCCGAGATCTTCAGTGATGTACTATAGTACAACAACGTTGCCGATTGACTGATGGTTTCGAAGAACCTTCCTTTTCAACATTCGCGTGTCTTTTGTGTAAATAGGATCATAGGTATTAGGTACCCCTGTCTTTCGACTTGTTGTTTCGGCTTCCTATTCCCCCGTTGAAATCCCTTTCACACATGGAAAAAACTGGGCAAACCTCGCCCAGTTGCCCACCCACCACGCAGCGAAGAGCAACAGTTTTTGCCTCGTGTTTTCGCTCTTTGAACGGTGTTTGATTTTGGTGCAGAACAAGAAGCTACAAGTAACAAGGGCATTACTACTAGTAGCAAGGACGCTACTAGTAGCTCCTGGCATTACTACTAGGAACAAGAAGCTACTATGTTACTAGTTTGTTTTTGGTGCTGCGCGACACGCCAGGAAAGAGCAAGTTTTTGTACATTTGGTTCTGGCGCAATCGACTGGAACTCAGCCGGGATCAACCTTTGAGAAGTGGATCCAAAAAAGTAAGTTCAGTAAGTTTTCCATAAGTTGTGCACCCTGCAACTGGACTCTCCGTTGGCGGAGAAGCATTGATCGCTTGATCGCAGAGTGGGGTATGTTCAGGTCAAACTCACGAGCAAGTTCTGAGATGTCGGCCTCCAACCCAATCATCATCCACTAAAACCGAGCTCGCTTCGTTGTACCCATGGCCCAGCTGCAAAACACCACCATGGAGCCCTTCGCTCCGCGTTCACTTCCGCCGTGCCTCGGGAGCTGGAGCCGGCCCCCGAGGCTCCGTAGGATTGGACCCTCGGGGAGACCCCTCTCACATCCCAAAAGAGATGACACCCATTCAAGTACATCCAAGTGCGTTCTTGTTGGGATCCCCAGCTTTAGACGACGGAGTCCAGAAGGTCTTGGAAAAGCCATGTGTTCTTTCCTTCTTTGGAGTCCAACGGAGTACAACAGGCCTAGACAACTACTGGAAAGTCCCGACGTGGCAATCATCAAATGCCAAAAGTATTGACAGTTAAGTGCATGCCCAATTTTGAAGCTGTTTCTTTCGAGAATAGATATTATATAATTATATATATAGTGTTTATATCAATAAATATGCATAAAACACTGTAAATACCAGTATATTTGATGAAATGGTGTGTTTTTTTTTTGGGGGGGGGGTACCATATAATATATATTATACACACAATATAGCTAATACATAGCATTATAAAAATTAATACTTACTAGTTCAAGGCTTCAAGCTTCATGACATCTTCCACACAGGGGCTCTTCCCCGGTTCGAGCCGCCCGTCTCAGGCATCTCCTGCCAGCGTCCAGTGCATTTGCTTCCCACCGTGCTCTTGCTTCACGAGGTCCAAGCTTCACGAGCGCTTTCACTCGCTTCGGGAAAAACCGGAGGTTCGAGGCGACGGCTGAGGTAAAACTCGATGTGGACATCCAGCAGAGGTGAATGACCCCTATAGCCCTATAGACATCTATATTATAGACTATGTGACCGTCCCATAAGTATACCCCAGTAGGGTCCTAACAAGGTCAATTAACCTCTCTTGGGTCATGTTCTTTTTTTTTTGGCGTGGATGGTTGCAGAAATTCCACCCAAATCCAGGGAATTCTTGTGGTGATGCGCTTCTTTTCTGCGACGTTTTTGTCCACTTGCAAACATCCTATGCCCCGAGCCGGTAGTCGTCCTTTGACCTTTGACATTGACTTATTTGATGTAATACCTGAGGAGAATCCGAAGTCAAGTCGCAAAATCTTTTGGCTTCGCAAAACCCTATTTTCACATCCTTGAGATCTGTCACAGAGTAGTCTGCGACTGCTGTACCCTGTACCCTTGTACCCTGTGGATAGGGTCAAAACCCTATTTCACCCTTGCATGTGGAGTAGGAGGAGTAGTCTGAGACGGCCAAAGTGGCTATGCTTGGACGAGCTTGTCCACGGGATGTCCAACATCCATCAACAATTGTTGTTCCCCTTGGATTTGCAATACACACATTCTCTAGTCGGTTGGTAACATTTGGTAACTTCTTGTTGGACCCTCTTTGTGATGTGCTATGATGCGCTTTCGTCTTCTTTGCCATGTTCTTGCCTTTCCTGCTTATCTTCCCTTTCACAATCCCGAACTCCTCCACATTGTTGCAAAGTAGTCCTGCGCTTGGAGTTGTTGAAAGCCTTCGACTGTCTTCCCTTCGATCTTTCTTTTCTCACCATTGGCTCTTTTCGTACACAGAAACAAGAAGCAGAAAACGAAGCAAAGTCTTTGAGCATGATTTCTCTCCATGCCACTGCTGTGTGACCACAAATCACTCTGTTGACCCATCGGTCGCCGGTCGCCTTCCCTCGGACGGACCGTGTCCGACGGTGCCGTTCCCCGAGACAACCACCGAGACGACGGTCCTTTCGACATGACCGGGGAATCTGGGTTGCTTTTTTGTGAGAGTGAGAGTGGCATGTTCTCGACCTGTCCAACTTCAACGATTCGGCTGCAAATGAAGCCTAGATGATTGTGCATATAAGTGGCATAAACAACATGTCCAACGATTCAAGTGAGGCTGTTTGAAGCCTAGATGATTGTATATACAGTATACAGTGAGGGATAGACACTTAGAACCTCACCTTTGTTTACGGGGGAACAATGTAACAATAAAGTTGGTGGGTGATGTTCCAAGTATGACCTCCGAACTACACTTACTTGTAGAACATACAAAACCTTGAGATTATCCAAATATTGGCATACTAGTGGTTGGTTGAGGAGAATGGTAAAGGACGCATATACACACAACTGATGTTCTGAGTATGCTGTTTATTAAGGTCTTTCGTTATGCGCGACGGGCTGTAGAGATGTTGCAGGATAGAATGACGAACGGCTGACTTGATGTAGCAAACATGCGGGATTCGATCAACGTCCGACTTTCTAGGGCTAAGTAGGACAGACGATGTTCTTTCTGTACGAAACCTTGAGGACAGAAAGGATGTTCTGTGTGCTGTTCCAAGTGTGTGTTGTTTGGATGTTCTAAGTTCTTTCTGTGTCACCAAAACACAACTTGAAGCCAGGAGATGTTCGACTAGTGTTTGTTCGTCACTATAGCTCTTCAAACTGGCTGAATAAGCAGCAGACGGCTCGGAGGTGCTTCTACAGCTGACCTTGGTTGGCATTAATATGCTCCTAGTAGCGCCCTTGTTCCTAGTAGTAAGGCCAGGAGCCCCGAACGTAGCTTCCTCCTTGTAGCGATGCCCTTTGCTCCTAGTAACTAGTTAGTAGCGTCCTTGCCCCATAAATGCTGGAACATTTGTGTCGTTTCAGCTGTTGGATCGAGAAATCACGTGGAAGCTGTGTTATCCCCCAAGATGGGCTCAATTGACCTGGAAACTGCTTCTCCAGACCGGACATTCACTGAAAAGACGTCGCCACGCGGAGACCTCGCGAAAAGAACAGGCAGCGCATGCCTATGAGACGCCGTGCCACAACTTGAACATTTTCGAGGCCTGTTTTCAAGTGGACGTGCGGGGGCCTAGATATACCTAGCTGCATGCAGCCATCTGAAGAGCAAACGGTGCACTCGCGTCATGGTGATTCGCCGGCCATGTCCTTGTTCGAATGGAAGGGAATGGCCCGTCTTTGTTGTTTTGTTGCTATGTTGTTTTCCAATGTTGTGGGGGTCGCTTGTCATCATCTCGTTTGAAGGATTATCATTTGTTTTCCAATGTTGCGGGGGCAATTCCTTGTCATCATCTCGTTTGAAGGATGCTGGTATTGGCAGTACTATGGACGCCGCCCCTCATGAGGGCCACGGTCATGAGGGCGGCGTCCACAGGGACCACGCAGTTTTCAAACGAAGCGTCTCCGCCTAGGCATTTTGGCCTCATAAAGGGAGTAAAACGCCTGACATTGACCATGAATTCCAGTGGAATCACAGCGTGGAATCACAGCGTGGAATCACAGCGTGGAGTCACCCCAGGATGATTAGACATCTGGAGCATTTCAAGAAGAACAAGTGATTGAGGTTGAGTTCTTTTTGTCCGAGTCACATGGTCCCAGTGGCCACGTCGCGTGAGCTTCATGGCCGTCCTTTGGGTTCTGACCGTGGGACTCTGGTGTGGAGAGGCCAGCGTCGACTCAGCGGATTGGTCGGTCCCAAATGGGTCGGTTCACCATCCGCCCCCCGAAACGCGCGTCGACTCAGCGGTGGACAGCGTGAAATGGGCGGGAAATGGAGGACTCAAGCGTTTTCTCTCAAGAGGTTTGGACATCACAGCCGGGTTGCTTGTGAGGATGCGGAGTTTCAGCAAAACAAAATAGACTAGACGTTTGACATCATTCATTACGTAGAAATACCAGCGGATCGGATAGCAAAGCTCTGTTATGAAAATTTGCACTGAAGCCAGGTATGATTGGGGAACAAGATTAAACAAGGAACCGGCAGTCAAGCAAGATTATGATATTCATAATGATCATAATGACATTCCTTGGAACTGACCTCATATTCATCCAGCACCAAGACAAAAAACTCCGCCAAAAAGCTCCAGCCGGAGGCCTACCGCATTGCCGTGTTCAACTATCCTTCGATGGGTGGTTCAGGTGTAGGAGATTGTGGTGATGAGACGGTGAACCTCAGGAGCATCGTGCACAACTCGCTGGTCAGTACAGGTGCGCCATGGTGCGCCGTTCTGATTTCTTGTGTCACGACCCTGGGAGGTCCAGAGTTGGGGATATTTTTTTCAGTATGCAATGTGAATTGAGTAGTAACAAGTGCCTTACTAGTAGTAACAATGCTTGCTATTAATTTAAGTTAATCTCGATTTATGTGAAGAAGTGGACAACACATATCTCATTGGTCACATCATATGATCATGACAGAGATGGTCAACGCGAGCCAGTCTTGATTTCTACATCATTCCAAAGAACCAAACAACTTGGTGCCCTTTGCCGGCCAAGCAACTGTCCACATCAGGTGCTGAAATCGAGGAAAGTCTCTTGTTTGCACTGGTTGTTATTTGAGACGGGACTCACTCAGGTGACTGAGCAAGAGAACTCAGAATCCATGCGCGGACTGGCCATGAAATAGGAACAAAGAGGGTGTGCATCGGAGGGTAAACCCCTCCAAACAGGATCTTCATCAGCCAGTTTGGCGCCAAGTCATTTTACTTGGCAGGTATCACAAGCTTTTCCCAAAGCGGCTTTGATAGCCTCCTTTATGCGTGCAACGTCTTCATCATGCCGGAGATGGAGAGTTCCAGTCCAGATCCGGCAGACACGAGCTTCTTTCCGGCATCCGCCCAAGTGAGCTTGCTTCAGTGGGTGGAAGCGGGTGGGATGCTGATCTCGTTCTATGGAGGAAGCAAGACGGACACCTTCTTGAATTTGATCTTGGAGCCTCGGAGTTCTGGGCGATTTTTTTTGTGCGTTCGTCGTTCTCGAAGCTGAAGCTGAAGCTGTGACGTACTAGGAAAAATTGTGATGTTTGGTTATAAGTGGTATAAACGTTCTTGGAAGGTGTGAATGCAATGAATGCTATACAAAATTGTACAAACAGATTCGGATTGATTGGCTTGGTCTAATAAGGAAACTTCCATGATCTCGACTTGTTTTCAGGCAAGTCGACACATCGATACTGTCAACTCTGACCTGATGCACATTCTTTTCCGCGGACCCCCCAACCCATGGGATCCAAGGGTTCAGATAGTCCACAATTATCCACAAGTTCAGTCACCTCGAAGGGCACGGATTTTGCCCGTCCTTCTTCTTCGTCTTCTCCGTGGAGTAACACCGGCCAGTACACCTTTGGGAGCACCGTGGCCAGCAGCCTGGCAAGTCCCAGTGCGACCAGCAGCTGGGACCTCAGCACCAGTGGGGCCAGTCCCATCTACGGAAACACGTCTGACGCCGTAGTCTTTCGCTACAGTCGGGTCAGTGGCGTGGTCTGGGGCCTTGGTTGGGATTTCTATGATTCAGGCCGGAGGGAGGATGGACCATTTAGGTGGGGCCGGGCCAAAACGGTTGGCCGGGAAGACGAAACAAGAGAAGAAACAGTTCACAGGAAAGCTATGCTAACTGTACATGGCTGTCCCAGCTATACCGAGCTCGATTCAGAGCTCTGAAGTCAAGAGTGAGAGTCGATTGGCGATGTCGGTGGTTCTGTTTTGGGTACGCATGGAATTTAAAACATCTTGTTTTTTTGGGTGAATTCAATTGAGCATCAGGCAAAAGTGTTCATGTAAGAGTCTACTCTTCGAGGGTTATATATAGTTAATAATATATTCTTCACATTATGTCCGCCGGGTTACTCTTCATATGCCTGCCAAAAGAACTCTCCATGAGAACCGGAGACAGAGAGCAACATACTTTGCCAGCTTGCGGTTTCAGCCGCTTTCTACATGTCGGGATCTTCAAAGAACAAAATACAGTGCACCACATGGTCACTAGAATTGTGACAAGATTAACTAGCATATATATATATATATATATGCGTGTGTGTATATATATGTAAGGTTAATGGTTAATATATATATATGTGTGCACTCAATGGTAAACGCTGATACACATAATTACTGGTTGTTGCTGATTCGTATGGTAGTGGATATTTCTTACCCCGGGAATTGTTTGTTTGTTTTGGGACTCCGACGGAGACTGATGACCAACACCAAGCGCAGGGGCGACTCCACGAACGCGCCAGGCTCAGCAAAAGACTTTGGGACTGAAGGGAGCCACCCTGATTGTACAGCAAAGGACAATGACTTTGTTACTGTGTTCACCACTGTTCTCCATGATTTTTCATCGAGTGCTGTGACCATAGTTTCAACAACAAGCATCACAACCCTAACGACGACAACACTCACCACTTTAACCAGTACTAGCACCCGTTCTGGCACTACAAGCACCAGTTCCAGTACGAGTAGCAGTACTACAAGTAGCAAGACTACGAGCAGCAGTACTACAAGTAGCACCACTACGAGCAGCAGTACTACAAGCAGCACCACTACGAGTAGCAGTACTACAAGCAGCAGTACCACGAGCAGCAGCACGAGCTCCAGGTCCACCAGTTCAACTTCGACTAGTACCACCACAAGCACCAGCAGCAGTTCCACCACTAGTTCAAGTTCAAGCAGCACCACAACTTCCAGCACCAGCACAAGTTCCATCAGCAGTTCAAGCACGAGTAGCACTTCCACAAGCAGCTCAACAAGCTTCAGCACCAGCACAAGTAGTAGCACGAGCACTAGCACCAGTTCAACTACCACCAGTTCTACGACCAGCACCAGCACACTGTCCAGCAGTAGCACTACAAGCACAAGCTCAGATACTAGCAGCAGCTCATCCACCTCAACTACCAGCACAAGCACAAGCTCTAGCAGTACTAGCACAAGCTCAAGCACAAGTAGCCATACAAGTGCCACGAGCTCAAGCACCAGCTGGACCACACTCACCAGAAGCAGTAGTTCCACCACAAGCTCCAGCAGTTCCTGGCCGCAACTGCAAGTTTTCAATTTCAGTCCGACTGATGGATCTTGGAACTTGTACCCGAATCCTCCAACATCCTCCAACTACTCAGACCATCTCAGACCAGTAAAACCCAGGATCCAATAGTGCCTTCTCAGGAGCTTGTTGGAGCGGCTGAGCACTAAATCTATGGTTTAAACATCCATCGAGTTGAACTCAGCACTGGAAAAACAAACCGCTTTCTAACTTCAGGCTGGTTCTAAGACATCTATAGATAACAAAATGTTGAAACTCCTCCAGAAGAATCAACAAAGGAGTCATTTTGCATCAAAGTTGCACAAGTTGATGTGTGTGTGTGTGCCAAGATTTTAGGCCAGGGGAGATCTTCAAATCTGTGGCGGGATCCAAGTGTTGCCAGGTTCAAGCTCCAGCACCAGCAGCACTATGTCGACCTCGGAAGCCAAGCCCATCAGTGCTGCTCAGCTAGAAGAGATGGAAGCTCAACGGAAAGAAGAAGCCGCTGCAGCGGTTCAAAAGGTACCTTGGTTGCCATGTTCCAAAACGATCGATCCGAGAAGGTCGGAACATGTACACCGTCACTCCGCATCTACACCTCCCACCTCGGTATGCCGGAGTCCAAGAGGTCTTTAAGTGACCGGATTTTTAGGAAATTCCTTTACGAGTCTTTACGTCAGTCGTGCCAAAGATCGTCGAACTGGACTTCATAGGGTATGTGGGAATCCCGTCCTGATCCCGTCCTCAGGATTCCATCCCCCCAACAAAACCAGGCGGACCTCCCAAAAGCATGAAACACTGCTTTGGATTCTTTTTGGCGACCAACCGGCCTCCAACCCATCAGTGAAAAGAATAGTATCAACTATATGTCCTGTTTGGGTTAGAATTTGCATCAATGGGGAGGACCACATTGTCATATGAGTCATAATATGTCATAATGCTTGGCAGATCTTGACTGGCCCCCCAACAGGTGGAGGCTGCTGAAGAGGCTGCAGTTGCCTCTGCTCTCAACCAGCTCTTTGACCAACCCCGTGATCCTAGTGCGCCACCGGGCATGCTGGGAGCGACGACCGTGAAGACTGAGACAGGACCCGTGAAGGTCGCGGCGTTCTCACCGGAGGCATTGGCTAGAGCTGGGGGTGTGGCGCGTGTGGGATCTGGCAGGAATGGAGAAGCTCAGGACCTGCAAAGGTTGCCACTGTTGTTTTTTTTGAGACATCAAGTTCGTAGGTCGATCGAAGAAATTCCCTCTTTTGACAGGGTCATTCGGCTAGTAAGGAAGAGTCAGCAGCGGAGCTGGAGGTGAGTTCTGACCTCTTGGCAGAAGCAGCTGCCTCCTCTGGCATCAGTGGTCCTATCCTGCTGAGTATGGGAAGCTTGAACGATCAAGCCGTAGCAAACCTGAAGACAGATCATCCCTTAGCCCAAGGACGGCGCTTGGCTTCTGCTTTGAAATCGCAAGCTGCGACTTTGGACATTTTGGGATTCAGGATGTGGAGTGATAGTCTTTCTGTTGCCTCAGTTTGCAAGATGAATTCTGTGAAAGTTTCTCCAGCATTGTGCATGTTCTCCTTGTAATCATCAAATTGGCTTCATTTGTCTTCCAAATCTGAGGTGAGCATCAACTTTCGTGATGAGACTGGGAAGAAGATCTCGGTGAAAAATCTTCAAACGCCCATGAAAATCATCCTCAAGGTCCAAGATGCTAGTGCGCGCTGCGCCTATTGGGATGAAGTGAACAGCCAGTGGTCCGAAGAGGGAGTCACCACTTCAGATGAGGTCGCTCCGGAGTCTTCCATCATTTGCCTGACCACTCATCTCTCCCTCTTTGGAGGTGTTGTTAACGCTGTGGTGAGCCTCGGACCCCTGAGTTTGGCACCTTTTTGAGGGGGGTTCGGACGTTTGTGTGACGTGTTCCGACCACACTCCGTATGGTTTCTACAGCTCTACGTCATTAGCATGTCCTATAGCCGCCATTACAACTTATTAACTTATTATATTATTGGAACTACAGTACGAGTGGAAGTCGTCCTGTACCCTGCTTCGCACTCCAAATGATAAACTAGATGAGTCGCTTTGCTGTTGTGGGAGAAGCCGTTGGGCCATGCAACAAAGGTTTTGGTGGCGAAAACACCTTTCTCAAGTGTTGTTTGCAGTTTGTGTTTTTTGGTTTCGAAGCTGTTGCAAAGCTAGTTGTAGTCAAAAGATGTCAAAAGACATGTACCCTCGTGAGTCTCAAGGATGGTTTAGCAAGTTTAGCATGAGGCCATGACCAAAACAGCTTATTACGGTCCATTCCTTTTCTTTCTAGACCATGCATGTCGCTGCGAGGAGAAACGTTGCCCTCGCCCTCGAGTGCAGCACCCTATCAAGTGTCATGGATGACGCCGCCTTTCAGAAGCTCTTTGATGGGGAATGGCTTGCGAAACCGCAATCAGTCGTCAGCATCTTGTCACATTCGTCAACATGAAAGCGCTTCCAACAGTTGATCTCAGGATGTTGCTACCTACCTTCAGAGGATTGGAGAACATGCCATCCTTTCTTAGATGATTTTCCCAACAACATCTCCTTTGTTCGGCCCAAAGGCCCGTGACCTTTGTCATCACGTGAGGGATGTTTTTGGGGATTTGAAGCAAGGCATCCTCTTTATGATCATTTCTATCGCGTCCGTCCTGGTTGCTTTGAGGCAGGGGGCGGTGGCCGGAAACAATTCGCGTCGGATAGGGTAGGGTGGTTTGGTGGTGCAGGAGCCGTGTGGTGAAGGAGCAGCGAAGCAAGTGAAAGTGGTGCAATATGAGCGGTAGACAAGGCAAAAGATGTGCCAATATGTGCCAATCATGATCCATTGATCTTCGATGATCTTCGTTTGATTGAAGCAATCGAGTTTTGTGAGGCTTCTCAATGGTTCTCAACTCCCCAAAGGATAGGCATGGCAAAAGCACCAAGCCGATGTCGGTTCAGTGGTGTGCACTGAACCGAGGTTGGGAATTTGGGATCTGTCCGTTTTGTCAAGTAAAAATCGAGAGAAGACATCACCAAATTGATCTACGATATGAAGCTACTCCCATCCCTTCGTGTTTTTTGTTTTTTTATCACTTCACTCTATATAGTCATCTCTATAGTCCTAAGCCTCGTGCCTTTCGAACAGGTGTGACCACCAATCAGAGCAGCTCCTACCCTCACAAGACCGAGAAGAGATGCTGATGCGTGCCTTGGGCCGCGGAGCGATGCGGGAGCCGTGCGGAGCGTTTGGACCGGATCGGGGGCAGAGACAGGCAGATCGGAAGCGATTTGATTCGCCCAAGACCTCACCAGAATTTTCGATCTCACGAGGTTTCTGTCGCCAGAAGCTGCTAGCTAGCTAGCTCTTGGCGCAATTTCTTGCAGTGGAAAAGCCTGCACTGAACTGAACTAGAGCAAGTCGATCTGATTTGGATGGGAATTGTTTGGACAAAAGTAAGGGAACATGCTAGGTTATCCCGGATTGCGCAGATCGGCACGTTTTTTGCGCTTTATCATGGGAAAAGTCGGCCGCAAATCCCAAAAGAGAAAGGATCACCTACCCAATCTGTGGATAGCCTTCCCAATCCTTTTTGGTGGGATTGGTTTCCCCACCCAACATTGGCCCAACTTGAACAGTTCGATGTATACCTTGATCTTCCCAGACACACAGGCGAAAATCTCGCGTGCGAGCGACGATTCTCGACCTCACAGGAGGTTGAGTCGTGTTTGGACCGGTTTTGGCCAGGTGTGAAAGCAGGGCAGAGCGAGGAGGCGGTCCGTCCGCCACGGTGTGGGGCGAACGCAGATGGAAATGGGCCGCTGAGTCCGGTCTCAAAACTCCTCAAAAACAGAGGCCTCCAGTCACGAAAAGGAAGGGCACAAAACTGGTGGGATGGTTTCAATCATCAACTAACTAATCTTCAACCTGGCGGTATGATTATTGTTTTTCTCCTACTCCTATATAAATATATGTTCTATAGGTTCATTGTTCTCCTACTCATAGGTTCAGCCAGACGAAACATGAGATCGATCAGGGGCTAAGGCGTGACTCCAAGCTTAAGGCTTAAGGCGTCGGCCGTATGTTGAGTGAAGTCTCGCCGCGTGAGTCGAATCAGCTCAGCTTTTACGATCAAAAGCTGCTGAGCTCGAGAACAAGTCGTGTCAGCCTACTGTCTCCGTTCGCTCGCGGGTTCTGGTCCCACAGAATCGGCTTCGGAAGGACACAGAGGAAGAAGGCAGAAGAGTCGAGAGTCGGGTGCGTCGACTCCCGACATCGTGTCGTAGCTTCAATAGAATTGATAAGGCTTTGCCAACATACATCAACATGCTGACTAGGATTTCAGTCAGTCGGGCCCTCAGCAGGAGGGTCATCATCCCTCGAGCCAAGTGAAATGGAAGCGGTTCTGCCGCACTGCGTTTTTCTGCATGTCAGGAGGAAGCAGGAGCCGAACCTGAAGCAAGCTTGCAGCAGACGCTCTTTCAGCAGGTACCTGGTGGGATGGAGAGGATGTTGAGATGTCCACCTCTGGGAATGAGTGTCTTTCTTATAGTCAAAACAAACATGAATGACATTGAGACGGATTTTGTGACAACAAGTGATGCCGTAAAGTCTCCAAGGGTTCAGCACATGTTTTGAAAACAGTTCCTATGCTTTTCGGGGGGATCAACCAGAAAGGAGGAATCCCAGGAAGCCCAAACCCTTTCAGTGCCTAAACCCCTTCTGCGCAGGTCCGATCTGCTGCAGAGCAAGTTTTGGATTTCCTGGCACAAGCAAGTGGAGGGAATGGCTTCTTAGAGGCTCGGGACGTGAAGTCCTGCGGTGCTTCTTCTAATTGAACCTCAGACCAGGAGTCCCATGGAGTGTGGGGTGGTTGTTGAGTCCCATCCAGTGAGTGGATGTGACAGGGGCACCCCGACTTCCTCCGTTCGTTCGGCACAGTCGTCTTGTGACTCCTGGGAGATGCCTTTCTGACTCCGTCCTAAGAATCCGTAAGGGGCTCAGATCTTAGGGCTCCACAAGAAAAAAGAACGATCCTTCGCATTGATTCGGTGCCGGATTCTTCCGGTGTCATCACCTTTTGGATGCCTGCAGGTTTTGGTTGTCTCCGTTTGGAGCCCAACACCCCGGTCTGACAGTAAGTCATAGAAGACCCTGTAGCCATTTGTAGACCAATTGGTCACAGCCCAGACATGGCAGGCAACCAGACGAAACAAGGGATTGTTTGCCTACAAGAAACTCTGTTCTATCAATTTTGGGGCCTTTGTAAATGCGTGTCTTGGAGATTCGACCCCCCTCTCAAACCATTGTACACTAGCTGGTTGGAATGAATTCAATTCACACCGAAACATCGGATGTTGACTGAAATGATCCACACTCTGACTCACTAACATGGAGGTGTACAAACAGGCAGTTTTCGTCCCAGTGTACCTCAACCAGACCATGGGGTACTTACTCCAGAGCCAGATCCATCAGTGTACCTTGCTCATCGTCTTGTCGACGATGAGGCGGTGAAGGAGGGCGTGGCCAATGCGCAGACGGCCGCTGTGAACCGTGGGCTCAGTACTCTTCAAGCCTTCAGGCGACGAACAGGGCCAGACGTTTCGTGCGTGTGGGAGGCTTTTTCGGAGCGACGACGAGCTTGGCTAGATCTGTCAGCTCCAAGCTTGGCCGTTTCCGGGCCGTTCTTGGGAATATAGGGCCAGATCTGTGTGCTAAGCTCAAATGTGTTCCTTGTACACAGTTCAGGGCTGACTTTGGGGCATAGTTGAGAACAAGGGCGTAGCCCAGGGCCCAGGGGGTACTAAGAACCACTCAGAGCCCCGATGAGGTTCGGAGAACCGATTGGGTTCCCAGAACCTGTGTTGGCCCTTCGCAGAACCCTTGTTCAAGGTTCTAAGCACCACCTCCTGGTTCGCAGAAGGTCTTAGAACCGAATGGGGGTAATGTCGGATAAATTCGACTACTACTACTACTACCACCACTACTACTACTACTCCTTGTGGTTGTAGAGATTCTACTCAGACTCCCTCGGTTGTTTGCTAGAGGGTGCTTTTTTATTATAAGATCATTTAAGATCCAACATTACTCACAACCTTCCACAACTAGGCCCCTTCCAGCCGGTTCCCAAAATTGAAGCCCTATTAATCCTAAAACATTGCACATGTCCACCTCTTCGGCTTGGAACATCTCTTCAGAGGTGTATAGGATCCATCCGCAAGAGATAGATGGATCCAACTCGATGCGGTCATTCTTTCTTTGGGTTCGGTGTGAGGAGTCGGACGGACCAAGCCAGCATGAACATCGTCCATCTCCACGGCGAGAGCCAAAAGGATCCGCCCAGTGACGTTCAGTGACTTGGACGCACCAGTGACGCTCAATTACTTGGTCTTCAGGTCTTGAGACAAGGGCTCTTAGATAGAGACAAGGGCTCTTAGATAGATTTCTGATCTTTTTCAGATGGTGAAGATAGAGAAATTCATAAGATTGGCTCGAAGAAATACCTTCAAAAGGAATGTTTGATTACGCTTCTACCTCGTGGGTGTTTTTCCACCGGACGCATTTGTTTGAACCAGCCGAAAAGCCGAAAGATGAGAGACGTTTCTCTCAACAGTTCAACATGAGAGAGGGCTGGACGTTGATTTGAAGCAATCCTGTGAGTCGACTGCCGAGGCATGCAAATATGGCCATCCCCCGCCTAGATGCGCACAATATGGCCTCCAGGAGAGCGATCAATCGACGCGTTTGGACGTTCGAACGAAATGAAGCCAGACATGTCCAGGCTTTGCCAACTTGGCCCCGCCACCAGAAGCAAGTCTTGGATTGCCAGAGGTGTGAAGCTGCTTGTTTGGGCCATTGAAACATGAAGATTCAACATTTCCATGGTCAAAACAACGTTTCTCAGGCTATGAAGTCATGCTTCCAACCATGAGTCATTTCTGGATGGTTGGTCCTTTATTATGCCAAGCAGCTGAAGCACTCAACTTGGAGATGCGGTGCAATGGCGATGTCAACTTAAGAAAAAATTGACCAACTTGTAATCCATTGTGTGATGTCTTCCAGGATAAACGTTGAGCTGCCCAACCATGTGTTCATTTTTGGGTTTATCTCAGAATGCTGATTCAACTATGTGTAGCCTTTACCCTTTGCAGTTTTAAGTGTCCCTCATGGCCCTTGACATGAGACACATCCTCGTGGTTTTATCAAGTGGCGAGTTCCAAACAAACATGGACGGGAGGAAGTGCAAACAATTGTTTTGACATGGCAAGAAAAATGCAAAGACAGTGTTTTGATTTATATAACAGGTTGGAGAAGGTTGATGTCAGGAGAGAATTGGCCAGATTCTGCTTAGACCCTCAACCCTAAACCCTGGTTCCGTTGGTTGGTATTGGCCGTTTCAGTGTGTACGTTTTCTTCCTCGTCTTCTTATTCTTATCAGTATGGACTTGCAAAGAGGCCCGTAATCCATCAGTCAATGAGATTTCACAAGGGGTTGATGCAGGATTATGTATGGTAGAAATGCCATACATGGATATACATGGATGTTCTGGGTAAGGAAACGTATGGTCGAACTGGATTTCCAAGGACTACAGCTCGGGGTGACTGCTTCCTCAGACCCTGCCGCCGATCGCGCAATCCGAGCAAATTTTTAGCTTGTGGCAATGGCCCTTTTTGGTCCAGCTTGAGTCTTGAGTCCCAGTCTTTTGGGCCTAGCTTGAACAAGAACCTCAAAACAACTTATAATCTGCATATAATTAGATATTTAATATGATTAATATATACCCTCCAATTCAGTGCTCTTTAAACTTGGTTCATTTCAACATGGAGACATGGAGAGATCGAACACTATTTTGTTTTTAGTAGAACCTAGTTTTACTTGGTCCCGTTAAAACATTAATAGTGTTCATTGTCTCCACGTGTATTTTGGTGGTAATCTGGATGGCAAGCGGCTAAGCCAAGAACTGCAGTAACTAGGGCTAGGAACCACTGGAGTCTTCCGCAGCTGTGCGCATTTTATCTGATGTTCCCTAAAATGTAGACATCAAAATTTTGTCAATGGGCCTCATTTGAACCCGAATCTTCGCCAATGTTGTTCTTATATCTATGCTTTACCCCATCCGGCGGTTGACTCAGTGTAGAGGGCAACAGTGAAGTGGACACCCTCACTCTTCAACGGGTAGCGAGCTCGAGAGGCACGCCCTTGCGCAGTAAAAATAATACTTGTAGGACTGATCAAAAAATGCAGAGCAATTTGATCGCAATTGATAACACTCCAGGGATGACATGGGATGACCACGCATGTGCATGCATGACTTCCTGGCTTCGTTTGTATGCTTCCGGATGCGGGAAGCCATTGAGCACCACCCAAAAGCCTGGAGACCGATCGTCGAAGATGAAGGTGCACAGGGCAAGTGTTTAAGCAGGGGTGGGCATGCAGTGGGGACAGGGTGCTTGGGCCAGGGAGTTTGATGGCAAGCGGCTAAGCCAAGAACCACCAAGCCTCGATGTCAGCTTGAAGGGATCAACCAGATGCCAGGGTCATCTTTCAAATAGGTTGGGCATTGAAGACCTTTAGTTGTCCCAAATCTCGATCAACTGTTGCAAACCCCGAACTTCTGGGACGGGAAAAACATTGGCCTTGAAGACCTTTCTGGTCCCATGATCACGAATCATGAGCATGATCCTCCACACTATCCTCCACCCATCGAAATCGATCGAGCAATGTCAGCTCCAAGGTCATGGATTTACAAGTGTTGGCCCCAAAACTGAAGACCTTTATGGTCTAACATGACCCTCTATCCACCCATCCCATTTGATCGGTGTCAGCTCCGAGGGATCATGGATTCAAGATGCTGTGCCCAAAGTCTGTTCGTTTCTGCATTAAGTTGGTGCAGCGCATGAACTCATCACTGACCCTTCCCAAAATTGATTCACTTAACCCAGTTGAATCCCTCGTTAAAGGGGAATTCTGAGAAAGCAAACCTCCGGTTAGCATGAACCTTTGCCCAATAGACAGCCCCACATGGTTTCTGTGAACTCCAAAATTCAGATCTTAGAAGCTCTGTGAAAGGCAACCCGCCCACTTCTGATTCCATACCCAATTTTATGGCGCAGGTCTTTCACCCAAATCACAGACACTTCCCGAAATCGTTCACACGACCCACGGAGTCACGTGTCGAAGGGGGATCGATCGATGGATTTGACCTCGAATTGAGGGTTGTATCATCCTGTTTATCGGAAGTCGCTAGTACATCTTACTAAGCCGGTACGTTACCTCCTTGTGCGTGTGAAGATTTTGTAAGCATCACCAACTCCCGTATAAAATAAGCTTGTCACACGCCTTCAGAATTTCCCAAAGGAAATCCTTATGAGGCGTGTGACATGTCAGATATTATCAGCTTCCGTGCGCGTGCGTGGAGAAGCCCAGGAAACACACAATGTGCAGACACAACAGTTTGCCATGTCTGGTGCGTTGGAAGATGTTGCCTGGATCCCTGCGAGGTCAGCTGCCCAAGTGATCTGACTGCGCAATGCTGGAGCAGGGAACGGCAACACTATGAGCAGCATCGGGCAACGGACAGCCATGTGCCAGTGTCTTTGTATGGAGACGCACTTCGACTGACTGTTCTTTGCTCTTTGGTTTCATTGCATTTGAATGCCCTCAGGTTTGAATTCGAGGTTTATGCATTAATGTGTCCAGTGGAAGAGGTCTCACTGGTCTTTGGGATAAATTCGACTGATCTTTGCTCTTTGCCTTCACTGGGTTCGAGCGCCCTCAGGATTGAATTCCAGGTTCATGCATTGCTTCTCAGAGGGGGATGACATTGGCGTGATCAAGAGGCTCGGTGCGATTTCGGGCAGGAATATGGAAAAGTTCCTGGCCAAGATTGCAAGACTCCGCGTGAAGTGCGCAAAGGCACGCTTGTCCAGGACCGGTTGGTTCTCTCATTGTGCAGTGTGTGCAGGTTGGTTCTCTCATTGTGTAGTATCTACTTGTCAACTTGCCAGGAACTATCTGCACATAGGGGTTGAGTTGGATTGCAAGCGGCTAAGCCAAGAACAGCAGTAACATCACTAACAGGAATGCAGCACTTTCCCCTCAATTTCTCCTCGGCAATTCGCATGTGGTAGGATCGATGTGGACGTGGCGTGGCGATGATGACCATGCAAGGCTAGGCAGTTCTGACATCTTCTGAGTGCGACCAACTCCGTAAAGTTTGGCCTTTTTCGAAACTCGCAGGGCAAAAATTGTCAAGAATCCAAAAACACGTCACTCGGAGGTAACGTACCAAGTTCTACTGAGTCTTGTGTTTTTTGGACCTCTCACGACTGATTTTTGCGTCATGCTGGCAGGATCTACCTGGGCTCTCTGTGGTGACGCTGCTGTGGAAGAAACAAGAGAGCGCCTGCTCCGACAAACGCAAGGTTCAAGTTAAACTTGAAGTTCCTTTTCAAATAGCCTCGTTAAACCAGGACTTCGGACTTGCAGGGTATTTAGATATATTTTTAATATACTTCAAGTTTGAATCATACATATATATATATACTACTTCTACAATAGATCGTTGGGATCCCTTCCTCACTTTTTTCGCTATTGTCTCCGCCGATCTCAACCATCGCAAGCGCGTTTGCACACCACCTGTCGGTTCGACCCACGCAGGAGCCTGGAGGCAGGGTGTTGCCAGCCCATCACCAAGTCGCCCAGCGGTTCCTCCTTCGGAAGCTCCGATCGGACCGGGGCGTTCAACACGTATTCGCCGTTTTTGGTTGGGACAGACAAAAGTACCAGGATGCCAGGGGCATGATGCCAAAAAAACACCGCTCGGACATCCAAGACATTAGGCATGTTGGAAGGGGCGCACATGTACCTGGGAAAAATTGTGTTTGCTTTTGCGTGGGTCCTTCTATAGTCATCCTGTATATAGTACTGGGCAGAGTTTGGGGAAACCACTGGGACACTGGTCATACTATCCGTCTCCAGGATGGTTGTCTGTATAGGTATATTTATAGTATAGTTGTATAGTTCACTCCTCGTTTTGTGGGTCTTGAAGGAGCTGTGAGGCTGACCAAGATGGTGACCTCAGCTTGGAATCCTTCGAGGATCTCTCAGCCAAGGAAATCGCGCTGGGAAACTCAGTGGGAATCGACAGGACAGCTATTCCATTGGACCATTTGGATATGTTTGGACAGGTGGAACTTGAAAACCACTGGTCTGTGGAGGAAACATGTTTCCCAGTCTGGGCCATTTGGGTCTCTTCCCGGGTGCATGGTGGTTTCTAAAGAAAACAGTTTGATTGTCGCACTGGTTGGAGTTCCCTTTTTTGACCTCCCTGGTTAGGGTGATGTCCGGTCCGTGCGGTCGACCGAGTTCGGTCGAGTTCGGTCCGACCTGTGTCGGATTAGGTTTGGGGAGTTCCAACGTTTGTCGTTCGGTTTCGGCCAAAACCACGTGTAGGGCGGCCAAGTCTATAGTTGGATAAACTGAGTTTTTTGGGGGGAAACGGGTTTTGAAGGAAGACAGGTTTTGAAAGGGATATCCATGGAAATCCATTGGCCAACTTGCTAGCCCAGGCTTCAAAGAGGGGAAGTACGAACCAGTACAAAAGCCAAGAACTGGCGTTCTAACATGTTCATATGTTCAAGATATGTAATGCATAAACAAATCAAAGAGATAGACCTTAGAGTCCTGACAGATTACTTATTCTGGAAGCGGTCTGACTTTCATCAGGTAATCACCTAGTCTAGTTTGCTAGCATGTCATCTTACCCGCCCCCAAAGTTTGTTTTCATAATTTAGGTTTTGCAAGTTGAGAGGTGGCAGCCGGAGACTTGCAAGAGTGTCCCTTTTGCAACCAGAAGTTCTTTCAACAATGTAGACTTCCGAACATTAACATACCAGATTGTACCCGTAGTCGTCCAGTTTTGAAAAGCCACCCTTTAACTCTGAACTCCTGGCAATCTCACTGCTGCTTCTTTTGCCGTTTGTCTCATCTTGGACTTGCGTTTTAAAACTGAACCATCAACAAACACCCCTCCCAGTGTCAGTGGAGTCTCCTGACCCAAACCAGTCCTCTACACACCGTCGTTGAAGGCCCCCGCGCCCCACGACTCTGCCGCCCTGCAGCAACCATCCTACGCCACCCACGCAGCGCGCGCCCAGCGCTTACAGCGAAATGGAAGTGGAGCCCATGCGGTTCAGCAGGACACTCATGTGAACAAGAATGGGACACAGTATAGGATGATGTAGGATGTATGGTCCCAAGCACAGCATGTACATGATCTTAATGGAATAGATACTTATACATTGGGGTTCTGTGGCAATATACGTATATATATATGTAACTATCCTATATATGGATGGTCTGGGAATTGATTGATGACATATGTCAGGCTCATATTTCGGGCTCAAAGGATTCGCTGATTCCGGAGCCCTGGTGTCGGGGTGCTCATCAAGGTGTCCAAACAAGCGTCGTTAGTGTCCAAGACATCCCCACCGAACAGGTCCCATCCCATCCCGCATGGCGATCCGGACAGGACTTTTAGAAAAGAATCGTGTTGCGATCCCATCCCGCATGGGGATCCGTGTTGCGATTCCTTTGAAAGTCCTGTTTTGGAAGAAAGAAAACAGACAAGAAACATGATTTGATCGCAAAAACATGCAAAAAACAATTGCAGCAAATCACCTTGAATCTTTGGACATGAAGGGTTTTGTGATTTTTGTTGGCGTACTTTTGAGGATCACGTTTGTGTTTTGGTAGTTCGAGTATTTGGGCTACAAATTTGGACAAAGATGTGTTTTGTTTGTTGGGTTCTTGGAGTGGTGGAAGCTCGAGTCTTTCACCACACCAGACGGCATCGGCCACCGTTCCAGGGGATTTGCCTACCAAAAAGACTCGTAAAAGTCCTTCGAGCATGGCGACATGTGACGCAACAAAAACAGGAACTTCATGGATCTTCACGTGTACTTCTAGTACCATCGCTACTAGAAACACGTGTAGCCATTTTCCGAGTTATTTTGGAGAATCCCAGGTCTCTTCTCAGACTTCAACCACCAGCCTCGAAACCCGCCGCCCGCCGGTGGCTTTTTGCACGTCCGGCTGTTCGCAGGCCTCGGGCGAGCATCCAGGAAGGCTTTCGACAGATGCGGCAATCCATCCAGATGGTGATCCAGAATCTGACTCACGTCTCTCAGCATAACACAAATGTTCACGCGATGGCCTCCATCATGTGAACAAAAACATTGGATATGAATGATTGAGGATGTCACTGATGTCACATCCATGAAGTCCATCCTCATGTTTCGGAGTATTTCACTCGAAACTTATACACATCCTCGGCATGTGCTATGCATTCTTAGAGCAAGGACCCAACCTGACACTCGCTCCCCAGCCTTGACATGTCGACTGTCGCCGCCGTGACTCGGGACATTTGCGGATTTCTCTGGATGTTTTGCAGATATTTCCCTGGTCACCTTTGACAAAAACTGAGAGCATACCAGCGTGATCCAGCGTGGTTGGAGGATTCTGATGACCAAATCTGACTTGAGGACTGAACACGGTTCAAATGTTGTCAGGGACACTGTTGGTGGGTGGTTGCCAGGTGTAGCTCGCGTGGGACAAGTGTCAGACACCCTGGTTGGTCTTCATTGCTTCACGGGGGATCGACCCAAATGATTTCATCGTGGCGCTACACATTCTTGATATGCAGTGCCAAGAAACCTCCGCACAGGCCGATGCCTTGTATGAGAAGGTGAGCAAGGACAGACGAGGTGCTGCCCAAGAGTACCTTCAACGTGGCTGGCTCCGACGGGTTTTGCTGCTCCTACCGGCGGGCCATGCCTGGCTGAAGATTCAACGTTTCAGCATTGTGCTCCCCTACTCAGTGAGAGTGGCGCTGATTTGCATGAAGTTGATCAGCTGCGGCTTTCTGAGCCTCAACGTCACTTAATTAATTAAGTTGCTTGTTCTCTACACTAGCTCCAACGAGCACATGGAAGTGGAAGCTAGACATTGGGAGCACTAGGTCACTAGATTCCTCTACAAGCAGGTGGTGTCCACTTGCATGTTACCTTTTTCATCCTTTTTCCACTATCCGTGGTGCGCATTTGCTCCGGAATGCTCCGGATAGATCTGTTGGAATGCTGTTCAACCTAATTAATCAGATGTACACCCTTTGGAAGACATACCTCAAAGTTGTATTTTAACATATATATAATATAGTTAATATTAATATATATATATGTATATATTATTGTATAGATCTTAATATAAATAACAAAGCCCCCATAGCCGGGTCTTGGAAGATGCAGATCATCTTTTTGTCCCGCTCCTCCGGCTTTCTTCAGGAGCGCACTGTTCTTCGCTTCTGCCGCACCTGCACCTGACGCAGATCCAGACTGCGCTCCCCCATCGGATGAGTTTGCAAAGCTGGTCCAAACGGCCACCGTTGGAATTGCCTCTTGGAATGGACTTGGGATGCAGGTAAGTCTCTGAGGTCGCGAGGGTCGTCACATGGTCCAGGCTTGTATTTTGGGAGATGTGTCCTCTCACGGTTTGTTCATCAAGTGAGAACCAACATGAACCCTGCAGTGTGGTTTGGAAATCCTTATGTAACTTTCCTTGCAGGGCTACATAGGGCCCGGGTACAATTGCTGTATGTTGCTACGTGCTGCTTGGCCTTCGGTAGGCTTGGAGGACGCACGTTTTCCTCACCATGAAACTACGTACATTATGCAACTCGTGCGGGCAAAATGTTCGAAGACTTTTAATGTTGCACGGACAACAGCAACTTGGAGAGTTTAGTCCAGTTTAAGACAGCCCTTGGGCGAAGACCGCATCGGGATACTGGGGTTTTCTGCTGCGTTTCCATCGAAAAAACATTCTCCTAGCAGCAAACGACATGGCAGGCCACTCATGTGTTTTCTACAAACTGAGGCCATGCCGATAGCATCCGATAGCGATACATCATGTTTTTTCTTTGAACTGCATCATACTGCATCGTTTGCAACGTGTTTATTTGTTGGGCCTGCGAGCCTCTTCAGACAGCACCTGCACCAGCTCAGATGCACAGCCCAACACTCCACAGTTGGGGAGAGGTTTGGAGTCGAGCGACACGAATTCCGGGGACACGAATTCCAAGAGAGTGGAATGAGGATGTTCTGTGCCTGGGTAATGGTCGGGAAATATGGAAGGTGCATGAACGGGAGAATCATGGAGAATCCAGTCGGCGACAGGTTTGGATTTCTTATCGCAAAGTCTGAGATACCCTAAGACCTAAGAATCCGGGCCCAAATCAATGGGAATCAGTTTGGTTCGGGTCCGGACTCCTGCAAAGAGGGAGAAGGTCCGACCCCTGCCATACAACTGACGCGATCGTCAGATTCGGGTCATCCGTCAATCCCTTGCTCAATTTCGGACACGATCCTTTGGCTTAGCTTCGAAATCCCCTTTACTCGTCCAGCAGCTTAATCAGGAGTCCTTGGAACGGAAGGTGGAGGTGAACAAAGGGAGCCTGTCGTGGGGTCCAACAGAGGTTTTTAGGTCCAACTGAGGTCTTGAATTTCAACTGAGGTCACGAGGTCCAAAACGAGGTGTTCATGTCCAATTGCATTTGAGGTCTCCGCAGTGTTGGGAGATGGTCTGATTCTGGTGCTCTTCTTCACGCGCAAGCTGCGAGTCGTAGAACGACCCCTTTGGACAGAAGAGATGAAAAGCAGACAGCGTTGCTGGTGGAGGGTAAGGACCTTCGTCGACATCGAACTCGTCGACATCTTCGACATCGTCGCGTCGATTTCTCGACCAGAACCGGCGAAATATGGATTTCATTGCAGGCGTCAGTCAGGTGTTTTTGTTCCGCAAATTCACTTGATTAAAAAAACACCGGTTTTGTGTTTTTTTTGGTGTGTTTTTAGTAGTGTTTTTAGTTTTTGGTTTGTAAGGGCATCGTACACATGTCACACTGCACTTGGCGATGTCACACTGCTGCAGGTATCATCAAGGGTCGGGATGTGCGGTTTCGAAGATTACGGTGAAAATGATTGAACATGGTGTGAACTGCCCTCATCATGCTGTTAGTTAAGTAACAAATCCTATATAAGGGTAAATCTATTGTGTGGCTATGATACGATCTACACAAGTTCTTCATTCATGAAAAGAATAGATTTACCGATGTCTCAAGCGCTTTTTGCTTCCAGAAATCGTTCATCCGAGACATTGACCACCTCTTCGATCGATTCACCGGTTTTCAGTGAACTGGAAGGGCGACCCAAGCTGTTCTGCCGCATCCAGGGCTTTTGGGTAAGATGATGATGTACACTTCGGAGAACGACGGTCCTTCCCTATAGACCAGTTGTTTTCAGGGTCCATGTCAGTCTGCGGGGTAAGATGTGAAGGTTGATCATATATATATATATATCTTCATGTACGAGGTCTTTTAATCTATAGTCATCATGGTGTTGCAAGGGCACGGGTCACAGAGATTCGATGTTTGATGCTTTTTGATAGTGTTGCAAATGGCTGACTACCAAGAGCCAGCCGCCGGTAGTTTGGAAACGTGCCAGCCGGTTTGCCCTTCAGGAGCATTGTCTTCTGGGTGGTTGCGGTAGCCTACAGCAGCTTTTGTCAGCTCTACATTTGCCTATTTCTGGCCACAGTGAGAGACGCAGACGCGCAACAGTGGCTTGAGAGTGTGGGTGTCAGCCTTCTTCAGGCCTGCATGCCGAAGAAGCACTGGAAGCACAAACGATGTCGGCAAACATGTCCTGCAACACCCATCAGCCAGCCGAACGGTCATTCTCAAGCAACTACTCTAAGTACTTTTGTATCAAGGAGTATCAATTACCGTGTAAATATGATTTCGACAATGCGAGCGATGTCATACACACATAATTAGAGTGAACCTTGGCAGATTCAGCTGGGATGTGGATCAAGATGGATCAAGGCAAAGCAATGAGAACTTATGGCTATACCTCTGAATAATACCCCCCCTCTGCATTGATCAAGTGCAGACCCTAAAATAATGTTAAATCCAGAAACATTCCATAAACATATTGATGTGAAGTTGAAATAAAAGGAACATGAAAGGACAGAAAAAGGAAATGAATGGAAAAGGAAAGGAATGGACAAGAAAGAAAAGGACATGAAAGGAAAGAAAAGACAATGAAAGGAAAAGAAGAGAAGAGAGATAGAGAGAGAGAGACCACTGGGCTCCATCAGAGGATCCAGAAAAACTTTAGTACAATATGGGGTCAATTGATAATGTGTTTTTGAACAAACTTAGCATTATTCACGGTCCAGTTATAATTCTGAAGTCAACATTATGAGCTGCACTTCTCCAGTAGACCAAGTTGCTGCGGTTGGTTCATTTGGAGGTGAAACACCCAGATGACCTATGGCACCACCCTTCAACCAGGTAAACTGATCTGAGATCACTGAGATCGGTTTCATGTTCCAATCCTTGGTCCAACTCCTCAACTTTCCTTGGCGTCATCGGACGCCTTCGTTGGGGACGCTCATCGGGTCGCGACCCCACCAACATCGTGCGACCGACCTGGCGCACCTTCAGTTGCAGAGACTGAATTGGCCATGGCTGAACTTCAGTTGCGCCCTCCAAACCGAAAGGACGGTCGAACGAAAGGACGGGAGACACCCCTCAGAGAGGACGACGTTGAGTCGACCGCTCCAAACCGGGTAGACGAACCTTGGGTCCGAACCTTCGGGGGGTCGAAAATATAGGAGATCTCCTCTATTTGAGCTACACACCCCAATGACAGGAAACCAGAAAACAGGTCGCTGGGAGGTGTTTTTTGAGCCAGCTCCGACCGCAGGACTTGTTGCTAAAGCCTTTCCTTTTCGCGCTGATCGTGGCAAGCATGTCTACCATTGTTCTTGCCTGCAACGCGCGCGTACGGAGGCGTGCTTCGACGGGTGCAAAGGGACCAATCAATCCCAGAATCATCTCAATTATGCATGTATAGATCAATTTGCAACATTTGGGCCTGGGACTCCAACTCATGAATTAGTCCAAAGCAGCTGTTCACAGTCATCCGATCTACTCGGATGACCGTGGTCTTCGTACGGACCGATCATCTCGCATGTCGAATGGATAGACATCCGTCGGACCCTTCTCGTCGAAGCAAATTGGTTCGCGCTTCAGGAAGCTTGAAGCTCAGTGGTTGGAAGAAGAGAACAAAGTTCAGGAGAGTCGCCGTTTCTTTTTGTTGCATGCCGAGAATATATAGGGCGCATAGGCAGAGGTAGACGTGACCATTTCACCAGTCAATTCGTTGTAAATCTTGTTGAACCGTTCCTTGATCGAACATATACGTACTAAGTAGTGCCCTTGCAAAAATGGGTGGACACTACGAGAGGTTTCAAGGTGTGGAACTCGTTTTTGCACACAAAACGTCATGTGAGGCAGACTGACATGTCCAGGATCATACGGGGCGGTCTTCAGAGTATCTCTGGGGCGCAGGTCCATAGAATTCAATTCAAAGCCCACTGAAATCATTTCATAACTTTCCAAGTAGAATAGACCAGCTAAGTAAAGTGCAAAAAATCCACGCAGACAACGAGTTACAGACTTTGCACGCGCATTGTTGTTCCACACTGCCCTCAGCTGACTCAGCACACAAATTTGTGGAAGATCAGAAACAATTGCATCTGACCTGTTTATTTACTTTGTGGTTCTTTCATGCAGCCGACTTTTGCTTTAAAAGGGTTGTGCACGCAAGGTGTTCCGTTGTCACAGGACTTCAGAGACAGTCTCAGATCAATCCGATCAAGTCGAAAGCAAGTGAAGAAGCAGGCTCCGGCTCAAGCAATTGGCTGTCACGTGTCCAGATTTCTCCGGCTACTAGATCCTCTCCCGGTTTTTCCTTGTCGTTGGAACTTAGATATTCAGACGTTGTCGTTGGAGTCTAATTTCCTCGAAGCCAATGCCGGTGGGCAATGCCCAGTTAGATCCGCAGTTTGGTGCTGTCTCGAGACAGAACTGTAATAGCTACATCAGCTGCAAGTGTATACTTTCTTCTTTAGATTCTTGGGAGTTTCATGATTGTGTATCTAAACCTTGACCCATAGCCCGTCTCAGTGTTGTGGGCTTTGGACATGATTTTTCAGGCCAAGGAGGCAAAGAATCAGGAAGCAGCTGAGTTCTCAGTGGTGCTCCCAGGCATGCCAAGCTCATATTAGTCCTCCTGTTGTTCTGGCGAAGCAGTTGGCTAGCCACATCAGATTTTCGATTTGCTGAAGGGGACCATCAGGGCCCCCAGACCTTCAAGACGACAGACCTGGCGCCATGTGTGGAGAGACCCCAGTTCCCACATGAGATACACCATGATACCCCCACCTCCATGAATCAAAAGGCATGAAAAGCCAACACTAAAAAATCTGGAAAACCACTTCAGCGTGGATTCAGATCTGTGCAGATGGCTGGAGCCATAGGTGACCTGTCGCCGCATCAGGCGGCCAGTCACTGCATTTACAATTCCTTCGCTTTGCAGAAGGCCATGCCATGGGCCAGGCAGGGCAGCCTCCGATGAATGTCCACCAGGTCACCAGACGTTAGACATTTGGACATATGGTTTAAATATATTTCTTGAACAAGCTGCCGGAGGCTACGCTGCCAGACCATGTTTTGTGATTCCCTCCAGTTTTTCACTCCAAAAGGAGGTTTGTACACCTTGCATTGGTGAGGTGTTTATTATCCCTGGGGGTCCAACTTTCTTCTCAGAAGCTGTTTGATCCCCCACCTCAACCACCCTCTCAGGAGATCGTTGGAACCCGATATAGGGTCCCTCATGATTCTTCACACAATTGCCCAAGTCATACGAACATGTTATTTCACCCAAATCTTGGGTCATTTATCCTTTTCCGTTTTTCTCCTATGAAAGCACTCAGGGGGATGGTGTGAAGAGTCTTGAGAGATGGGTCTTACATGGATTTGGGTCATTTTGGGTCCATTTCCGGATGCCGGACGTGGAGTAAAATCGACTTCCGGCGCTTCGGCGCACCCTTCCTTCGATGTCGGACTGTTTCGGTGGCCCAGCAGGGTGGCCCAAGAGGATCAGCTGTCGCTCGCTCGGTTCGCTCCAACACGGAGTTGGCCCAAAAGAGGCAACCCGTTTGGCCGAAGCAACTGCTACATGTTGGTTCGGTCATGTTCGGTCCCAAACTGCGATGGCCTCCAACCTAATATATAAGGTCCAAAACCCCAGTTGTGAGGGTCCAGGGTGATCCTACTTGGCTTGGGTGATTCCTCGGCCACCGGAACAGAGTCGAAGGATCAGAGTTCGCGCCAGGGTGCGCCACTCGGCGCACGGTCGCCGGTGCTGGAAAGGAGCACAGCAAAAAGGAGTACGGCTTCAGCAGTGATAGGGTGTTCAGCTTCAGCAGTGGGAGTTGGACTTGCCAAATGACATGATCTCCCTGCTTCCATCTTTCATTCGATGTTCCTTTTCCTCACCACTGTGTTCATAATATCACTGTCGGGTCTGCTGATCGAACTATCAGCTTTGACTTGTGTGGCAGGTGTTGGTGACCCAACATGAGTAATAAATGGGTTCCTGGTGTGAATCTGACCATGCACATCTTCTTAGGCCTCATGGTATAGAATTTGGTGGGTTTGCAACCAAGTTCGAGAGGCACAACGTTTGTTTGGCCAGTGTGTTTGCAGTATACATTTAAGAGATGAACCCGTCAGAACTGTCAGAACGGTAGACTTGTCTATATTTCTGTTTTGGGTGGGTGTACCATCCCACAGTTAAACAGTTAAAGTTAAACGTCAACGTTCACCCCACCGAGAGGCGCCATGGCCATCAGCCATTTTTTGCTTCGTGTTGCCCACCTCACCGCAGGGAAACCTTAAGGCGATCCGGATCGTTCTTCGATTCGTACAGCTCTCTCTCTCTCTCTCTTTCTCCTTCTAGTATAAGTGTTTTTGATGTGTTTTTCATGTCTTGAAATGTCTGATAGCAGGCAGACACTCACATTTAAGCACATCATCCCATCATCCCACATCCCACATTTCTATAATTTACTATATATTATGTTTGTTAGATAATATTGTTCAAAATGTTTGGACATAATATATATAACTATTACAATATATATTTATATGAATTCAATTTCAATATCTTGCTTTTACGGTCGGATCCAAGACCTCAAATGGTTAGCCAGTAGCGATTTTCGCAGACCCAGGTCTTGCTGATGGCTTTCTTCCTTCTTTGCCTGCCTCGGCGCTTGTCCGCTCTTTTGGCAGCCACATGGCAGGGTCCATCTGGCAGAGGGATTGGCAGAGGGATGGTTTTTCGATGTGTTTCTCAACCTATACAGATTCAATCAGGAGCCTTCAGCCCAAGAGTGTTTTGTTTGCCTGTAGAATGTGTAGAATTGTGTGATAGACATGTAAAACAGGAGAAAAGAGACACCCTGCTGGCCAGCATGGCATTCTTTTGTTTTCGTATCATCAGTCTTCCAGGTGCTGTTTTGGCCGAAGCTTCCACGCCGGTTTGTCCAGATTGGAAGCCCTATTTGGAAGCCGTTTGCATGACATATTGACGTAAAACCCACAAAGGACTCGGTGAGTGCGCACCTCTTCAGTGCGCACTTCACTTTTGAGGACTCGTCTACGCACCCTAGCGCACCTGCCAAACGCACCGGAGGCGTTGCATAGCTCAGCCGAAATCGGATAGCTCTGGTCCTGCACGTCCTGAGGCTTTGATGTACATTCCAGTTGCTCAACTTGCAAGCGCAGCTCGACTGGGGCAGACCGACGCTCGGGGCAAGCGGATGATCAGTGGAAGGAGTGACCCTCGAAACGGAGAAAACCTCCCACTCCCCATACCAATGGCCTGAGAAAGGTTCCTCAACCAAACACCAACAATGTGTATGATAATTACTAGTTATGATACTGTATATGTGATCTTTCTGTGCCCCATTGCCCATTTCTGACATTTGTTTGAAGCGATAGATTTGGACAACTTTTGTCATATCACATTCTTGGTCATACGACGTCATACGATATATGAAAACAGAGCTTAGCTCAAGCGGGTTTTGGACGCCCAATGGACTGATCCTCCCTGGTGGACCAGAGACCGAGCAGGTTGACAACAGCTCGTCCGGCAGGTTAGGCTGGTAGGTTACGATGACATCTTGTTATGCAGAAGAAGGTTTGTTCTTTGTGGCCCGAACAACATCTATATAGCGCAAACTACCTTTTGCTACGACCCTTTTTTGTTTGTGACTGGAAAACCCGACACGGTACTTAGAAGTTCACAAGTTCACACCTCACAAGAATACACCGAAGGCAGATGATTGCAGTAGTTTATCGGTTAATTTATCATATGTTGTCATATCTTGACATTATTGCCTACGTGGTGATACTGCCAATAGTTTAAAGTTGCCCGGGCAAGCTACGACCTGCCACGTCAATCGGCCCACGTCAATCGAGAGGGGAATCATTCCTCAGTGAGTCGCAACATCCTCAGTGAGTCCTTGACTCATCTTGACTCGACTCGACCAGTTTTGAAGTGCCAATGAGAGAAGCTTGCAGGGTGACTGGTAAAGATGGTAAAGGGTGAGGCTCCAACTCTAGAGTCCCAAACCATAGTGCCATAGTGCCCAGGTGTCGTTTATGTCGTTTCTTCCGGACTGTCGGCACTACTCAGGCGGGTGATAATGGACCACATGCCAGGCGCAGTTCCGGATCATCGTGGGAAATGGAGGAAATGGTGGACCTGGGATTGCTTGAGGCTTGAGGAATCCTTTTTCGCGGGAATCCATATCCAGAAACAAAGTCCTACACCATTTTTGTTGATACCTCTACCACACCTGCTCCAATCTGAATGGAAATTGCTTCAAGCTTTCATTCATGAGGAGGATGACCAATCAACCAGAGAGACAGACCTTTATGACTTCCTCAGGTGCGTCAGCAAGTTGTGGTGTTTATTTGCTTTAATCAGGATGTTTGGATGAGTGGGGAGAGAAGAGCTGCTATAGGTTTTAAGATGTTTTAAGACACAAGTCACCAGTGTCGGACAAATCGATGATGATCCCCAGAGATGCCATGATGCTGTCATCGACTGATTTGGAGAAAACCCAGCTGGCCCCAAAAAACTGCCAATGTTCCACTCAATTCCTATCAAGTGCTCAAGAGTACTATCACTTTCCCTGGATCCCACAGCCTAGCGTTTTGCCTTCATGACCTGCTCATCTTTACCACATCAATTGAAGCTAAGCTGGCTTCGCTTCCCAGCTTCACTTCTCGGATGGATAGACCCCTAAACCCTAAACCCGAGCGGCTAGAACCCCTCTTCCCAGCCTCCTAGGATGTTTGATCACATGCCCTGCGCGCTGATGACCGTCGCCATTGCGAACTTGCTGCCCACCGCTTCCACCTTGGCTGCGAGCCCTTGGAGTGCCAGGCAGGATCTTTGCACCATGCTGAAGTCTGAGCTGGTGCTGTTTTCTTTTTGTAAAGTTCAAAGTGATGAATGAAGCATAATGAAACAGATGACCACCACAAAGGTCTCAACCTGTATGATATGATATGTTTGTTATGGTTGCAGAGTTTTCTTTTGACTCTTGTGACCCCTTATGCTTGTATTTAGGATCCTTTTCCTTGGCTGCTGAGGAGTACACGACTGACCATGGCAGATCCCGTTCTGGGAGCACATGGGCTTAAATTGAAAGGGTGCTCAGGGGCAACTTTTGGGTAGTTATACCGTACCCCATAACTACAGCTCTTATACCTTTTTGGACACTTTGAGCAGCTTGACCGATGATGACTAGCTACTGCAAAAGTTGACAAGCGGTCAGGTATATAGAATATTGAAAACACATGTCAACTGATCCGCACCCGCAGCTTTCGATTCAGAAGTCAATTCTGAGCCGATTCCATGAAGTTTGTTCCTTGGGTGTCAAATTCTGCAAAGTCCTCAGACCTGCAGTTTATGCCAGCCATGTATCAGCTATGCCATGTAGATGCGGAATCTGCTCAATCAGAATGTTCTTTCACATTTGCTCGAATCAGTCGAACGCAGCAGATTTGCTGGCGGTCTTTGCTGCGGTACGCCTCACCCGCGGTAACGCCTTGAACTCTTGTGTCCGCGACGCTTTGGGCGGATGAAACATATTTAGGATTAGGATGAAAAGAACGTCCAAGGGCAAAAGCACTAAAAAAGTAACAAGTTAAACAAATAACACACGCTCTCCTTGTCATGTTGCGATGGGCTTTGGAACCTTCCGCTGGGCGCCAGTGGCGGCGGGCCTAATTTGCTACCTTCTTCCCCCCCTGCGGCTGGCCTTCGGCGCCCCAAGCTTTGAAGAGCGGTTCTATGCCGCAAATGATGAGCGTTGATGCCAGCCCAAGCAGATACCATCAACTTCGACTGGGTGTGTACTAGGGAGACACCAGAAATCTCGCCAAGGGTCGAACTAGGAGCTCCCTAAGACACACTCTGACGTCGGCAGTGGAATTCCCCACTCACGTCGGCTGTGAGTCATGGTGGACCTGGGTGGACCACCAATCGATGAACAGAATAGACAGATATGGTCAAGCTACGAGGGTGTCCAGGGCTCCTGGTTTTGACTCACAGTCATATAGCCATAGGCCATAGGGATACATGACAGCACAAAGCATGACCGCTGGTCAACCACTCCGGTTTGTCAGCGTTGGCCTTTGGCCCTCATCTGCACGAAAACTGTCGTATTGGTTGAACGTCTTGCAAGAAGTATAGACTCTGTCTCAGGGTGAGCTTAAGAAGAACCTAGAGAGAAACCGAACGCCCCCTTGACTGTCCTCATGCGCACTCTTAGACCCTTAGTCCGTTTATTTTTGATGGATTTCTTACTAAACCACGAAAGGTCAAACCCTCAGCGAAGGACCGGCGTGGACAATCAACTCATGAACATCCACTCTTGACGGTATCGATGTTGCCTGACAATCCCCGCAAAAATATTGTCGTGTGTTGTTTCTACTTGTTCTTGTTCTTCTTGTTGTTGTTGTTGTTGTTGGTGGTGGTGGTGGTGGTGTTGGTGTTGGTCACGTTCAAACATTCAAGTGTCTCAAGGCCAGCTTTGGGATTGACCCTGTCAAATTGAGTTTTGCATGTTTATGTGCTTTAGTCGCATGTATCCCTGGCGTGTTGGGCAAAAAAACAAGTTGTTTGGCAAGAGACTAGGTCCAGTGAGAGAACATTTGCATGAACTGCAGTACTGCAGTTCACGGAAAAAAAGGATCATAAGGGACCTGACGTCGATCTGCAGTGCGCATATTGTACAACACAGGCAATGGAGAACGGAGGACGCTCAAAGAATGACAACCCCTGGAACCTTATACACTTTGTAAACACAAAGCCCTGCAAGAAGAAGGAGTCCCCGGTCTAAAAGCATTCAAAAGTAATTGACCCGAACCTCACATGTTCGGGTTGCACAGCTGGTCCCTCTTCAGGCTCCTCGCTACGACGCTACCGAGGTTTTGGGCCTGGCAGGAAAGGGCCCGGCAGAGTGTCGCGAGCCCACCGGAAGGAAGAGTCGGAAGGCCACGCTATGTAGGATGTACAGAAGCTTGGCAGCTGGTGATGGCGTGAAAGGGCTTTTGCGGGCATTCTTTGTTTGAAGAACCCATGGGTCAAAGCCAAACCAAAAGAAACATCCTGCATTCCGCTTGGTCTTGAATTAGACCCGTACCCCTCAATGACAAGCCACAAGTGGCTGGTTGGATGGAGCTTCATGGAATTCATATGTTTACATATGTTTACCTTCCAAAAAGCACACGTAGGAATGTGTGCCGGACTTGAAGATGGAAGGACGCGCCAAAATGCATTTTTACACTTGGAAATGCTGTGTAGTCACAAAAAAACTTAAGGATGGTTTGGCAGTTTGGCATGTCATTTTATGTTTCGGTCCGGATATTATATGATACATATGTATTATGTATATATTTTTTATATAATAATTAGGCCCTACAATTCCAAATGCGATGTTTAACTTAGAATTTGTGTGTATTATATATAATCAATATATATATATATATGTGGGTGTGGAAGACTACCTGCAAATTGACACAAACATGTTCAACAGAGAAAGGAGCAGACTTAGAATGCCTCACAACAAACAAAGTGCCCAGGAGCCTGATGACAAGGAAAAGAAAAGACAAAGGCAGGGGATAGAAAGGCAAGGAAAGAACATGGAAAGGAAATGGTAAGAAAGGAAAGGAAACGAAGCGAGAGGCAGTGAATGAGAAAGGTTTCCTCTCAGCCCACCAAATCCCAGAACCAGCAATACCAATATCCATAAATGACATCAGATGATAGTAAGTACAACCAAGTGCGCCTCCATGTATTTACAGGCATTCTATCTCTCGATTCAAGTCTTCCTCGACGGGTCTGGCTCTTCCCCAATGGGTCCGGCGCGATTTTCTTGGAAGTTAACACACTGCAGTTAGAGCGACAGGCCATGCCAGCAAAACGATCATGACATATCCCAGACACGACTAATGGGACTGCCATGTATGCCGCCTACAGATTGGGTGGTTGACTGGGGTTCTTTCTGGGGCGGCAGTCCTAGTCCCAGGCAGGTCGTGTCTGGGTATCATGACCAACTTCGTCATCAAATCCCTCAGGAGGCTGCCGAAGTGCGAGAATCCACTACGAAGGCCTTGCTGCGCAGCTGGCCTGGTGGAGATCTCGAGGAGTTCTGGTCGGTGGTTGGAGGCCTTTCAGGGCTGGATGCCTTGCAAGCCTTGCACGCTCGGCAGGTGCCGCAGCGGTGCTGCACGGTGGAAGGACGGTGAATGGTGCAGGACCGGAGTTTCAACACAGGGACGTCAAAACAGATTTCTGAATCTCTGAAGGCAGATGATGAAGCGCGTTCAACTTGACTGCTTCACCATTTAGATTGATCCTGTTCATCAAGATCGTTTCTCCATTCTGAAACCGAGATGTTTATCCTGTTTCCTTATACGAACTGGCATTTTGGCATACGAACTTGATCTTGAAAGGTTAGATTCCCTATCACTTCGGTCCATTTTCAGGTGAAGGTGAAGAAGGCGATCTTCTTCGACGTGTCCTGGCCTCGCCGTGGTAGACTGCATGGGAGGGTCGACCAAACTGGGAGGGTCTGCACCACACCCACAGGCTGCTGGGATGGTGAGAGGGAGGAATCCTGTGAGCTACACACCACCCGAACTGGGAGCGCTCCATGGTGAGAGGGGGGAATCCTGTGACAAGTGGGGAGTTATATAAATGCTGAATTTATTGTAAGAATTCGCGACTGTGACAACTCTGTGGTGTTCTGACAGCACGAACAGTAGGTGTACACAGAACCTCAGCTACTAGGGACCCACCCATTTCTGAAAGTGTGCCAACGTTCAAAAGTCCCGTTTACCTTCCCAAAAGGGGCAAGACAGGAGCCAGGGGCAACCAGTTCTTGTCGGCAGCCATGCACGCTGGGTGACCTTGGTCTACCAAGTTCCCAGGTATGCAAGCTGTGTCCTCAGCGGCTGTACAGACTCCAGAAAGACCAGGAGGAAGGTCAAGCGGATAAATGATAGACTACTTGCCTCCAGATGATGGCAGAGTACTTGTCTCTTGACAATGCCAGACTTACCTTTTAGAGACTTAAACCATCCGTTATATCCAGCAGCTCTCAAAGTTGTGTTTCCTTTAGCTGCCATGCTGTAGGGAGGTGCGGGAGAGATTCCCCATGCCCCAAATCAATCTCACCCAGTATCTCCCCCATTTCACCAGAGCAGGTTCCTCAATTTGAACCTCCAAGGTGACGAATCTTCAATATCCCTCAACGATTCACTCCTTTTTCGGAGCCTATTCGCCCCCACGATAATAAGAAGATCGATGTCCCTCGCCAATGGTGAACTGATTTCGAGGTCAGTGAACTTCAACTGCAGTATGGCCAACTGCTGCTGCACCTGATCCAACTGCATCCGACTCGCGAAGCTTTGGTGGAAGCGCTCTATGGACGCTCCATGGCACGTGGGGGAACCCAGAAGCCCCGGTGCGCACCGGGGGGCTCCAGGATGACCTGGATCCCTCAACCACCAAGAAACATAGGTGTGAATAGACTCCATTCTCCCAAAAGTCATGAAACATGTGATTTTCTTACAATCGTGTGGCGCGTCGTCTTGTGCGCGAGGCTTCGGCCGCGTCTTGTGCGCCTCCAACATGATGGACTTCCTCAACGAAGCTCCAGCGGCTGAGCCGGAGATCCAGACCCGCGAGCGGTTGCCAGAGCAGCTGCAGGAGTCCCGGATCGAGCTGGCCTCCAACCTACTTGCGATGGCCTCCACCTAATAGCGTCCTTGCTACCAGTAGCTTACCTATAGTCCTGGATCGAGCAGCTCGGAAGCTTCGAAGTGAGGAAGGATGACCCTCGTGGAGCTCCGAGCTCAGCTATGGACTCGGGTCGGGTACGAGTCCCTGATTTCACCCAGGTCGAGATCAAGCAATTTTTGTTGGATGAGAGTTTGATATCTTTGGTTATTGATAATTCAGGAATGAACCTATGTTGGTCGATATTTTCCCTTTGAGAGTCAAGCTTTCTGCTTTTTGCAAAGTCTTGTGTCCAGAAGTCATAAGGATCGGCAGAAGGAAGATACAGTCAAGATAGCAAAGGAAGGTAAAAATGTTTTTTCCTTCCTTGGACAACCATTGATACGGAAAGGGATTCTGATCAGTGGAAAGTTGAAACTCAGACTTTCACGTTTTGTGGAAAGCACTATGGTTGTTATGTGGTGCTTTAAAGTATATTTTTTGAAAATGTGTTTGTTCTCTTCGTATACTTGATAACATTGATATAGAGTACATACATTAGTTAGTACAATCTCAATTATTGTTTACTATTATATACCAAGTTCAAGTTGCGAGAGGGGCAACGAACAAAAAGAAACACTCGTGTTTTGTTTGCAACTCTGGTCCCCCCGGCCTGATCTGCAGAACATAGTCTAATTCAAACAATATCAGGAGACATACTTTTCGGTCGGTAGGTAAATCTTCCTTTCTATCTTAATATATAGAAATGGAGGCCATTTCAGTCTATATCAGTCTAAAGAACTTAAATCATGTTTTGCCTCAATGCGCACATTCCATCCATCCATATTGTTTGCCTCACTGCGCATCCATTTTGTTCCTGTCCCATCCATGCAGGAGCTCTATCGCAGTGTCTTCCGCTGCATCAGCCGTCCCTCCTCATGGCCGGTCGTGTGGCCTTGCTTCGGTCGGAGTTCGTCACTGCCCCAGCGGCGCATGGCACCCGTAAGCCTCAGCAAGGCGCAACGACGCCTGGGAGGCCACCGCAACGATGCTCGTTGCTCCGAACGCCGCGCCATGCGGCGGTCCGTGCGTGAATTGGCGCGCGCGCATTTTTTTTCACACAATGTTTTTTCTAGAATGTGTTGTGAGCCGAGCCAATTTCAAGTGACAGTTTGGAGATCTTCCAAGTGCAATTTTTCAGGAAGGCATCATGCAGTTTTGGGTGAATTTGTTTGAGGTGTGCTATTTTTCACCAGGAGGCCTGCCATTTTTTGTAGAGTTTGGTTCTTGATGTTGGTTACCTTTCCTGGCAGCCTTTCACCTTCCAGGAAGCCTTCCACATCAACGAAGCGGGGTGGTTGAAGAGTGATGAGACCTTTCAACAGCTTCGCTCTTGCATCCTGGAGCTTCAGAAGCGGAACTGCCTGGAGTTTCGACACCTCAACTTCAGGGACATACCGAAAGTCGGAAACTTGGCTGCTCAGGGATTGTGTCAGAGGCAAACGGAAGGGTAGTGCACAGAAAGGGTTTTGCAAAAACCTATTCTACTAACATCGTGGAAGGCGCGCCACATTCGTAGAACCCAAGGCTATTCGTGGACAGTTCGTGGAATGGTGGGCCAGTAGGAGAACTGACTGCAACGAAATCCCAGAAACCTTCGCAGAACTTCGTGGAAGGTATTTTTGATGCACTAACTTCGTATAAGCGATTTTTGCAGACCCCCTTTTTCCACACACCCTCCATTAAGCCTTCATTGTTATGAGGAACAAGAGAGACCGTTTGTTTCATTTTGTTTCTATATATGTTTATCTCATGATCGTTCGATCATCGAAATGAGAATCCGGACTTCGACTTTGCTGAAGCCAGACATGATAGAACAAAATAGACTCACAGTGAGACTCACAGGCAATGTTGCTGTCAACTTCTGATTTGGGAGCTCAATGTTGGTGAGCATGCATTTTTGAGGGTTCCTGGCGGTTCAGGATAGAAGCTGAACCCTTTAGGCCAGCCGTTTTTCTGGCCGCCGCACCCGGCGGACTCTGGTTCTGGTTCGCTTCGTTGACAACTGGTTTACAGCCTGGACTGACAGCTACAGCTCAGGTGAGCAACGGGTGATCTTCATTTCGAACATCGATGGATCACCCCAGTTCTTAGCCGACGACCAGCTGGGACACTTGGACGGCGCTAGACGACGTGACGGGTTGAAGTCATGAGGGAGATGTCAGGGAAACATAGGAAAACACCCATCATATAACATATGGTGATACATATAAATTTACTATATGTGTTAGAAAATAACTTGGGGCTGAAGCACTCAGACACGTGTTTGCACAGTTTTCTTTTCTGTATGTTCTCACCAGCTGTCACTCTTGTTTTTTTTGCTTTGTTCTTGTTCAAGTTCAAGGCGCTTGGCGTCGGGAAGCGCATGGCACGTTGCTCTTATCCACACGTGGCGCGGAATGGCTTCCATGAGACACATGGAGACGACTCGACCAGTTGAAGATGCGCAGCGCTTTCTGGTGGAAAAAATAAGGATGAGAAACGGAGGTGAGGACTCCTCTAATCGGCAGGTGTGACACCATGATGTACCTTATTCCACCCGTCCACATGAGGAGATGGACGGATGTGGAGAGGATCTTCAATGTTCAGTCCCACCAAGTGCCGCAAAGACCACCGGGGGCACCGGGGGCTCCAGTGAAGGATGAACCATGATGAACCCCTATGGACTGGACCCTGTTCAATTGTCCAGTTGGACTGCGGTTGACCAGAGGTATTTGTGGGTTTAGTATGAGCCTGAAGCCCCTTGGAGCGGCTACGCTCCAAATGGCTTTTAGACAGAGCAGTGACCAGTCATGTCGAACATTGCTGAAACAGATAACCAGCCTTGCTGTTTGGTTCATGTTTTCGATATCACCCTTCAGAATGTCCTAGCCGCTCAAAAATAAAAGAAACACGTGGTGCGCCTCGGGAGGCTCTCCCTGTGGTTGGGAACGGCCGTGCTTTGCTTGTGGCTTTGGTCCCTTCCCTCCGAACAGGCGTGGGTTGTCCGTGATGCGACCTTGACGTGTCAATGACAGTGCTGAGTCGTCATAGACTGACGTCGAGCAGAGTTTGGTGGTGTTTTCTTGACGAGAACGACTGAGTTTGGACAAAAAATGTGGCAAATCACTTAGACTTGGTACTTGATGGTTGCAGGTTGTTTCGGGCTCGACCTTCCAACTAAAGGATGGTTTTATCATGCTTTCTCCGTACCAGCTAAGCTTTCACTTCGACCCAGACCAAGGGGTTGATATTTGTTTGTCGACTGTGTTGCATCCTTTGGAAGTGGAGCATGGTATTTGGAAGGAAGGCCACGCATAATTTCAGAAGGTCAAGATCAGCCTCTCAGAGCCCGAAAGGAAGGATCTTCAGGTAAACTCAATGGCCCCAAAGGACGTGATGCTTAATACTGGCCTATAATAGCCCCTTACAGGTGATTTGGGGTTTCCATTAACCACCCCAAACCGGAGGCCCTGCAAGAGGTTCACCCACATAGCATGAGTATCCACCAACTCACCATCAGTCGAACCGGTGCGTCAGATGGAACAACTGGAGCAGCTCACCATGTTGCAGCTGCCGCCCTGGTGGCATGGCGCCATTGCGAGTCCAGCGTACGGGTGGCAAGACGAGTTGGGAAAAAGGAACTATGGAAATCCCACCACCCAAGAGATCACAAGAACGGGATTGGACAAATAAATGCTCAAACATGCACAACATATCTCAAAATCTTCCCTGACCGGAAAAAATAAAACGTCAATCCCAGCGCGATGCCTCTTTTCAGCATCACACCTGGTGACATCGCTTCACGGACCCTCCGTTCGAGACGGCGCGAAGACGGGCGCCCCCCGCGTCCGACGGGTCTCAGGCTTTGGCGCCGCTCGGCGGTGTTGGCACCGCTGGTCTTGGTGCTGAGGCTTTTAGACGCCGAGGCACAAGGCGCACAGCGGAGAGGTCTGCCGGAGAAGTTTCATGAAGGGTCGCTGTGAAAGGATGAGGGCCAGGGCCAGGAATGTCGTGGGGACAAAAGCATTTTGTTGTGTTTTGTGTTGTTTTGTTTGTTTGTTTATTTGTGTGTTTCTTTCTTTCTTTCTTTCGTTCTTTCTTTCTTGGTTTTGTTTGTTTGTTTATGTTTTGTTTGTTGTTTTGTTTGGTTTGGTTTGGTTTGGTTTGTTTTGTTTTGTTTGTTTGTTTGTTTGTTTGTTTGTTTGTGTTTTATAGATTTCTTTTGTATGTCCTTATTTCTTGAACGCCTAGAAGTAGTCCAGGGTAGTGAGATGGTGACCGGGGTCCATGAGGATATTCCCTTTGAAGGGAGGTTCTGAAGTTCTATCATTTTCGAAGCAAATTCAGTGTTCTGTGTCATGCATACAGCGCATCAGCGCATCAGCCCTGTGAATAGACCCCGGACATGAACAGTTGGCTGTGCGGGGTATACCAGGAGTTTGACCCACATCCTGTCCTCTCCATTTTTTCGTGTGCTGACGCTACGAACGGGGCTCCTGGCCTTACTACTAGTAACAAGAAGCTACGATCGGGGCTCCTGGCATCGCTACGAACGGAGCGATCGGACGCTACCTGGTCGCCCGCCGAAAGGCACCCCCCGCCGCCCCCGGCTCCCGCGCGCCACGTTCAAAACTCTGCAGGGGACCCAAACATGTGGCAGAGTCGCTATAGAACAGTGGGACCCACCAAATGATGGCCTCCAACCATACTAGTGATGGCCTCCAACCTACTAGGGCCTCCAACCATACGAGTGATGGCCTCCAACCTACTAGGGCCTGTAGAACTTTTGCCAATATCTCCGCCCATGGACCACTTTGGTCACACTTGTCCCAAGCGGTTCCGCTAGCCCGCTAGGCGGTTCACGCGTGGGCTGGTCCTTGGTCAATGCGCTGGGACGTTTGTGCGGGCAGATCAACCTGACGCATTTGTTTGTTCCTGGGCGATATCAGGGTGTGGGTCAGCACATCACCATCCCAAATCCAACAATTCGTTGACATGAATGGGGACTGTCGGAGATCTGTGTCTTCAAATGTGGTCATGAGCCATGGACTCCCATGTCCACATCTTAGACATTAGACACGATGCCGGCTCAAGCCTGGCGACCTCGCCAGAAGGAGCTTTGAGTGACATGAAGAGCCTTCTATAGAGTAATCAAGCTCTAGTGTTCTGAGGTCGCGAGATCCATCCAAGTAGCAAAATCCAAGGATGGAACATAATAGAACCGTATGTTTAAATACATTGTTTGAGCAAGCAGAGAACAGATCGTATTTGTCCATGATGTCATCGCGAACTTCTGAGGTCTTTGAAAGAGGGCGTAATTTTCCTGTTACGTGGTAGTCAGATAGAAGTGTCCATTGAGGATGATTCAACCACTGGAGGTGTGTCTTTGGGATGCAATCTTGGCCGTTGTTCTGACGGCCAGAGTACTAGCACAGCCGCATCTGCAGTGGTTTTATGGCCTGAGGTCCTTCAACTGCACCGTGGCTTTGCAGCGCCTTGTCCCTCTCGGGAGCCTTGTTTGCCCCGTCCTGGACAGAAGAAACATGGCCCTGGAACCGGTCATGGGAAGTCATTTGTATCAAAGTGAAGAAGGTCGGTGATGGTGAAAAAAATCGCATAGTGGCTCTTCCACGGATCACGCCGCTCGTGCCGCTCCCATCAGCATATGAATATATAATAATATAGTAAATCATAATATACATATATATATATAGTTATATTTGTATTTATTAATATATGTAGTAGATAATTATATGAATAATTATGAATATGTCAGCAATCTTGACCTGGACATCTGCCTTTGATTTGGGACGACTTGTTGGCAATGTAGTGGTCCCCAAGTAAATAGATAGTGGCACGGTGTCCAATACATCTTAGTGGGGGATCTACTTTTCTATCTATTTGGGTATACGGTATATGATGTTCCTGCAGGAAATTCAGTCAATCATGGTACGACACATTGATCGCGGCTAACCAAGATCGGTGCCGGGGAATTTGGGACAGCCTTTTTTTGTTGGCTCATAGGCAGATAAGATGTGTTTTGGGAACCTTCCGCTGACAAAGGTAGAATATAAACTAAATAAGATCACGATCACGGGGATCCGCAAATGATCGAAAGAAAAGGGATCTCTTTTCCTGCCATGCCCATTAAACATCAACATTGGCATCCACAAAGCTAGCGAAAAGTCTCTTTCATTCCCTACATTGGACGTCCTCCCAAAGTGAGGCATGTTTTTTTTCGCCGAGGCAGGGAACAATGGCATCAGCCGCGATGATATTGAGCTGCCCGCCAGTGCCAGTGAATTTCTGAAGCTGGTGGTTGGAGCCTTAGACAGTCACCGGCACACTGTCACTGGTCGCCCAAGTCCTGAGCTTGGATTGTTTGAGAATTATGAGACTTTGGCTTGAGAAAGCGTTTCACAACTCCTTGGCGCTTTTGGTGCTTCATTGGCCCTGGATGATGAGAGCTGTGTTTCTGGCCAAGGGAAATGAGACTTACAACAGGTTTCCATCAATACACTGGCTTAATTATATGCCTGACTTGCAACCTTAACCAGCAGCTGCCCCCCCCGCAGTGCCCAACCTTAAATCAAAGCTTTGAAAACGTCCCTCACGGGCACCTTTCGTCCATCCGTGAGGCTGGGATCTTCATGTGCTCCACTGTGATCGCGGCAGTGCTCTTCGTGTTCCTTGAAGCGCCGGCACAGGCACGAGCATGGAAACCATGAACCCTTGTTGTGGATTATACTATATGGATCTATATGGTCTTGTTATGGCTTATTCAAGGTCATGTTGAGTCCATGTTCCCTGAGGTGCAGCACCAATCACATGCCATCATAAAGAGCGCCTCATGAGGTGGTGCTGAAAATGCATCAAGTTAGATTTAGCAGTACACGCATTTTTCTCTGTGTGTGATTCCGTAATGATCGCATGCGTTGGATGCACCACGAGTATGCACAATTGAAAGCTGTGTTTGGCCACCATGATGGGAACGATGCATGCTTGAGGCCATCGCTATTAGGGGAGGTCATCGCTACAGTTTTTTTTTTTGCACTCCTTCAACAGGTGGTTGAGTTCATTTTTTTGGACTCGAAGTGCATGAGGTGGGATAGCGGATGTTTTGTTCATATTTTTCTTGAGTGGGTCAAAAGAGGCAGACCCTAGTTGAAGCCCACCCACAGACTTGCTCAACCAAAATGAACTGAATAAAATACCAGGACAGTCAACCTACCAGGGTTTGGAGCTCGAGGATTTGACCCTCTGCCATGGGTGTATATATCTTAGCCAGGGAGACTCCCAACCAATGGGTTTTGGTCCATTTTGCGAACCTTTCAGGGGGCCACATTTGAAATACACAATCATGTAGGTCTTGGTTTGGAGGCCATCCCTAGTAGGTTGGAGGCCATCACTCCTAGGTTGGAGGGCATCGC